GTACTGTTCATGTCTATAGGGGACGGTTACCACTTTCCATCAGGTGGACCGTCAGCTTGTTTGCCATTCTAAGTTGTATAATAAAAACAGATTAGGGAGTAACATCCCCATTACTACAATCCCCCCCCCTTTCCCCTCCGCCTAGTAATAATGGATTAAACACATAGCTGGAAGAACAATTGATGGGGAAGAAAGAATCTTGTGAGACTACCTTAAGCGTGCAAACATGCTAGGACGAGGGGAAGGGATTGTTAGTAACGGAGAGGTTTTTTTTTGATGGATGAAAATGGAACGGCAGACCCGCTTGCGCTAACGGTATACGCTGGCAGGGGACCAGTGATGGGAAGGAAAACAGGCCAGTTAGCCCATCAGGAATTAACCATGATAGTTTCCAGGGGGAACCGCGTGAAGGTCGACCTGGTTGAGTATATTGCTAGCACTGGGATTCTCAATCTCTATTACTAACAATCCCGTTCCCCGCAGTAGCGGAGAGGTTAGTTCATCTATCAGGTCGAACTACAGACGATTCCCCCTGGAAACCATCGTAACTAATTTATCGTTGAATTCGTCACGATGGGCCTTTTCATCCTCACCTATCACTTCTCACTGATGCCCCGCCAGTGTACACCGATAGCGCAGGCCATTTGCCATTCCATCATTATCCATTAAAAAAAACATACTAGGGCACGCCACCCAGATGGAGGGCGTCAATGAATGAAAGTGCGTGGGAGAGGTCTGTATGATGTATCATTGAATTAACTGGTGATGACGAAACAATAAGGTAGTACTTAAGATTAGAGGAATTGCGTCCATATTGCGATTATACGCGTGAATTACGTTGGATTTTCATTGAATTAGGTAAAAACTGAATACGCAATAAAGCTAAGTCGGCAATCGGCGACCACAGTTGCACTCTATTTCACTACACTAACAATTGTTATGAAGCCACAACCTATAACTATTGCGGAACGTATTAAAAATACATCACTTTTGCTAAAATTAACTTTAATTTGCAATACATTTTCTGCTACTGTCGGATAAGTTGGTTTTTTTTTTAATGGATGATAATGGAATGGTAACCCCACCCGCGCTAACTGTATACAGCGGCATACGTGCGTGCGTCCGTGCGTGCGTGCGTGCGTGCGTGCGTGTGTATGTGCGTAATACCATCATCATTTTAACAAATTAGCACTAAACTGTCCACTGCTGAAAATAGTTCTGCCCCATAAGGGGGATTTTGCCAGTAATTACCAGGTTTGGTAGGCGGGTTGGCAACCGCAGTTAGTTTTTGGTAATATTTTAAGAGGGACGCTGCTGCCCATTCCTCGCCAATTAAATTCCCTTAGTCACCTCTTACGACACCCACAAGAAAGAAAGATGTCCCATTCTATGCCGAGACCAAACGGGATTATATAAGTAAATAAATACAATAAATTAATGTTGCCCTAAAAAAATTGTAAAACATATTATAATTATATCTTATTTGTCTTTAAATGGGATAAAAATGGAATGGTAACCCTATCTACACTATTTACATACACTGATGGGTACCAGTAAAGGATAACAGATAAGGATAAAAGTAGGGGGAAAGGGATTGTTAGTAATGGAGACTGAGAATCCCATTGCTAGCAATATACCCAACCAGGTCGACCTCCTCGCGGTTCTCCCTAGAAACTATCATGGTTAATTCCTGATGAATTCATCATGATGGGCTAACTGGCTTCTCATCCATCACCCTCCATTAGTGCTCCGCCAGCGTAGCGCAGGCGGAATTACCATACCATTTTCACCCATCAAAAAAAAACAGTTAAGGATGAAGTCAACTTAGTTGGCCCATGATGATGAATTCATCAGGCACCAGGAACTAAGCTAGCGATTACTCCACTAGTTTCCGTTACTAACAATTCCACCTCCCCTCTACTTCTGTCTTGAGCCAGGGACATTATGAGTATTGCATTAGTAAAAACGGAAACAAAAATACAAAGCACTCACCTGTATTTACACGATAAATAAAGAAAGCAGGGTAATGTTTTTCGAGAATTGTATGTATTATGTAATTTCTTGTTTACAATGACGGAGTAATACAATGTGTCACTATCAGCAATATTTTTTTTATGCAACTTAGAATGGCAAAAAAGCTGACGGCACACCTGATGGAAAGTGGTAACCGTCGCCTATAGACATAAGCAGTACCATGGACATAACAGAGTATACTGTTTCGCCCATGATACCCCCCATGCGTTGCCATTCCTGAGGACTCAGGTGTTATTCCTCTGTACTCTGTAAATTCACGCCATATCCCACCCTTCAAACCGAAACACAGCCATGCAAACACAACTGCTTTACGGTTGAAACACGAATGGGACAGAGGTAACCAAGCAAACGACTTTTGTACAAAGTCTCCCTCTGGTGTAATAATACTTCTCATCCCCAGAATGTCGTAAGAGACACTAAGTTAATATAGCATAATACAGCAAAGCAAAGACAGTACTTGTACAAGTATATTTGAATAGAAATAATTTGAATTTGAAAGGAAATATAACTCTATAGCCTGCCGCCTTTTTAGCGAGGTAATACTTGTCGTTAACTGTCCACTGCTGAACATAGAGATAAGAGGGGGTTTTGCCCAGTAGTTGCCACGTTTGGCAGCCGGTTTGGCAACCGCAGTTAGGCTTTGGAAATGTTTTAAAAGGACGATGCTGTACGTCCTTCGATTTTTGAGTTACCTCAATTGCCTCTTACAACATTTACAAGAAAGGAAGGGCTGCCCCAATCTATACCGGGATCACACGATAATCATCATCATCATCATCATTTCAGCCATTATCCGTCCACTGCTGGACATATCCTATCAGGTCGGGGGGAAAGGGATTGTCAATAATGGAAACTGAGAATCCCATTGCTAGCAATATACCCAACCAGGTCGACATCCTCGCGGTTCCCCCTGGAAACTATCATGGTTAATTCCTGATGAATTCATCATGATGGGCTAACTGGCCTGTTTTCATTGTCATCTATCACCCTTCGCTCCCCTAACGTATCCCGTTAGCGCAAGCGGGGTTACCATACCATTTTCACCCATCAAAAAAAATACCCTATCAGGTCGACCTCCACGCGGTTCTCTCTGGAAAATATCGTGCCTAATTTATCGTTGAATTCGTCACGATGAGCTAACTGACCTGCTTTTTCATCCTTACCTATCATCTCTCACTGGTGCCCCTTATGTATACCCGGTGTATACTCTTAGCGCGGACGGGGTTACTGTGCCATTAAAAAAATCCATTAAAAAAAAACAAATTATACCAAGTCATAATTTTGAAACGTCAACGGATGAGTGGTCCACGTAATTTTGCATCAACTAATAGATTTACTGAGACAAATAAACCGAAATAAACTCACCATACCACGCTAACAAACGTCGTGACTCTTTAATCAGGTCAAACGCGCTGTTTTGGTGGTTTTTTTTTTTTTTTTTTTTTTTTTTTTTTTTTAAGAAATAATTATCTATTGTGGTATTCAGATTCTTGCCGTGATATTAACTTGCTATTTTTTAAGATGCAACATTACACAATGCGCCTCAAATTACATTTATTCACGTTTAGTACCGAGCGAGAATTTCCTTCCATAATAAATCCTATTAATAAATAATGATCCTATTAATTAATTAATATTTATAATATTGAGATTCATACTGTGATATTAAATAGTTTTTTTTTTTTACATACAACATTACACAATGCGCCTCAATTATATTTATTCACGTTTAGTACCGAACGAGAATTTCCTTCTATAATAAATCCTATTAATAAATAATGATCCTATTAATTAATTAATTTTAATAATTAATATTTATAATATTGTAACTCATACTGTGATATTAACATGCTGTTTTTTTTTAGATACAAGATTACACAATGTGCCTCGATTATATGTATTTACTTTTAGTACCGTCTGAGATATTTTTTCTATAATAAATCCTATTAATAAATAATGATCCTAATAAATAATTAATTTTAATAATTGATATTTATAATATAACAAATGCGAAAGTTTGTAACAATGGACGAATGAATAGATGTTTACTGAACGGATTCGATTAAAATTTGATACACGGATAAGTTATATCCTAACTTAGCACATAGAATACTTTGTATACTGATTTACGCGGACGAAGCCACATATACGGCTAGTTTAAAATAAATATAGTATAAATAGTTATGAAAATTTACAAGATGACATCATCAATTCAATATGGCGGAAAATTAGTGTGACCATAATTTAAAACTTCTTATTCTATCTCTTTCTTCATCTTTGATATTTATATATATATTATACCTTGGATTTTGTTGCTAAATTTCATGCGTGTTTCCATGGGACTTCATAAATAATTATCTCTATGTTTTAAAAATACTGTTATTGGCACTGTTAGGTCTACTGTTCTAAAACTGTAATGTATATTGTTGTTAATTATTTTGTAAATGACTGTTTCTTGCCATAAATAAATAAATAAAAAAAAAACATCAACGAGAAAGTAAATTTTACGCGGACTGTATTTTACATGAATATCGTCACCAATTCTTATGTATCTTATTGATTTGCCTCATTAATTAACTATTACAAAGAAAAAACGACTTTTCTTCTAGTTACTCGTAAAATAGGAGATTTTTCGAATCCTATCAGAAACGGTTTATAGATGACCTTTATAGATATCTAAAACTTCTTACTGTTTTCCTATTAATTCACTATTATTGTGCAATACTTGCATATTGTAATAAATTAACAAGTAATTGAAAAATACGCAATCATTAAGTAAATTAAATGACAACCCTTCAATGAGTCAAATCGATCTGTGCCGAGACAAATCAGCTAGTTTACAAGCTAAAGTCACTGCTTAGCCTTCCGTAGCACCCGGCATTTGTCAACACACGACTTTTCATTGCGACATATCGTGGAGAAGAAGTGGTAGTATTTGAACGTGCGCAACGCTCCCCCCACAACAGTATTGCGCGGACGCGATGGCGGCCCGACGCGCACTGGCGGCAACACGAGCGAAATTCAAACTCGCGTTCTAGTCATTCGGAATTCGAATTTTTATTTTTATTTACTTTTTAATTTCATAAGACTGATTCTGACAGCCATGTACCACCTTGTTTATGACTGACCAGTGACATAACTAGTGACGGTAACTGTGTACGACAAAATGACAGTGACGTGACATGACTTATGGATTGACTGACTTGACCGTCCGGGAGCGGTGCATCCAGGTTTGTATCATATTTGTATCATAATTTATTTTTATATTTATACAATTAGAAACTATTTTACTATCAGATAGAGAAGTGTGAGGAGTCATGGAAGCAGATAAAGCAAGAATTTACCTAATTTTTTTTAATGGGTGATAATGGAATGGTAATCCCACCTGCGCTATTGGTATACGCTAGCGGAGCACCAGTGAGGGATGATAGGTGATGATCAAAGCAGGTCTGTTAGCCCATCGTGACGAATTCCGCCAGAATTAACCACGATGGTTTCCAGGGGGAACCGTATAGACCCTATTACTAACAACCCCTTAAACGTACATATTACACGAGTGTTCTAGCCTAAATATACTTAACATAAAAATAACAATTAAAGTGCTTGTTAACAAGTTTTTTTTTACATACAACTTAGAATGGCAAGCAAGCTGACGGCCCACCTGATGGAAGGTGGTAACCGTCGCCTATAGACATGAGCAGTACCATGGACATAACAGATATACTGTTTCGCCCATGATACCCCCCATGTGTTGCTATTCCTGAGGACTCAGGTGTTATTCCTCTGTACCCAGTAAATTCACGCCATATCCCACCATTCAAACCGAAACACGGCCATGCAACACAACTACTTCACGGCAGAAATAATATAATAATAATATTTTAATAAAAATTATTTCATAGTGTAATAAATATTAACAATTATATTATAAGTAGTAATAAATATAGTACCATATCCCACACCATAACAATTTTGTTCAAGGGTTCCTCTCGCCCTATTAGAAGAGGATTAACCTCCCTTTCGGTATAATTATTATTGTTCATAATCATTCCTCTCCATCCAAAGGTTGCCTGGAAGAGATCGCTCTTAGCGATAAGGTCGCCCATTGTTTTCTCATTGTGATTATTTCTTGTAATTGTTTATATTTATAATAAGTTTACTGTTGTAATCTTTTGGAGGAAACAATAAAGAGTATCTATCTATCTATCTATCTGTTATTATGATGTTTGGATTAACCTACTATAATTGTTATGCAAATGAGCAATATACGATTTCATCGCCCTTCCCTTATGCTATTATTAGTATTGAGAGACGGACTTTTTCAGGCGGAAAACCCTGTGACACTGCGACCTTTCCACGATCTTTTGTGCTCACCCTTTTTTAAAGTTCGCTCCTAATTCCTATCAGTGATAGGAATTTTAAGATGTTTTTGTCTATTTCTCTCTGTTCATGTTATAAAATGTACTTTCCATAGCAGCTATATCGTTTATATATGAATGGGCTAAAGCCAGAAATTAAGTGCTGTGGCGTTTCTCTCTCACTGTGACAAAATCTGCAAACACTTTTTGGTCTTAAGCCTAGTTGGGCCATATGCTTGTTTTTTTTCTTACGCTATATATTTATATTATAATGACTGATCAGAAATTAGTATCCTATCTATATATCCTTTTTCCATCCCAAATACGACGCGTTTGACAAATTTTATAATGATCAATTGACCAGGTAAGGCGCCAAAAAGTATTAAACGAAGCCCCTTACACACACTATTATAATATTTTTAAGAATCATTATTATCATCGTCATCGTATATATTCTTTATTGCACTAAAACATACAGTAATAACAATAAGTTAATAACAATGTTAGCAAAGGCGAACTTATCTCTAATAGAAATTTCTTCCAGTCAACCTAACACAGTGGCATAGGAAGTAGTGAGTGGGCAGTAATAGTGCTAAACAGAAGTTAAAATAAATATTTACATAAATAATAAATCATTATATATATATATATATATATATATATATATATATATATATATATATATATATATATATATATATATATATATATTGAATCATCATATCATTTTTAAGAATACTTTGTAGTATTTCATCCGCGGAAATTACGATCTTAAATTTAATTATTCACGGACGCACGGAAATGTCTGGCATTTTCTAAAACTTTCTGTAAATTTTTTATACTCCAACCAGTTCCTGAGGTTTTTCTCGTGGTAATATCATTTTGTCTTATAGTGTTTAGACGTATAATTAATATATAGTAGGATCAGTGTCCCTTATACAACGACCGGTAACCGGTCGTTCTTCGAGCAGACTACCCGCAAAGAACAGGGGTTCTACGCTCAGAGGAAGATCACATACTCTTACTCTTATTAGCAGTTCCTGGTCGTTCTTTCTTAAAACATCATCATTATTATTATTATTATTATTATAGCTTTTTTATCCACTTCAGTGGTCCCCAAGGGTAAAAGCCTCCTCCATCTTTTTCCACTTCTCCTTATCTATAGCAATACTTGTCCAGTTTTTTCCTGCTGTCTTTATTATGTCACCTGCCCATCTCTTTCTTTGCCTACCAACATTTCTATTTCCTGCTGGACCTCGCCATTTTGTTGTTTGGAGAGTCCACCTTTTATCTTTGTACCTGATTATATGACCTGCCCATCTCCGCTTCTGTTTCATACTATACTGAAGAGCATCTGTTATTTTGGTTCTCTTCCTAATATCAGTGTTTCTTATTTCACCATCGACGATCACATACTCTTATTAGTAGTTCCTGGTCATCCTTTCTTAAAACATCATCATTATCATATCAGCCTTTAATTGTCCACTGCTGAACATAAGCCCACTATTGAAGGATTTTACCAGTAGTTAAACTGGCAACTGCAGTTAAGCTGTGAAGTTATTTAAAAGGGACGTTGCTACCCATTCCTCGATTATTAAGTTCCCTTCCCTTAGTTTGCCTTTTTTTTTAATACAACTAAGAATGGCAAACAAGCTGACGGCTCATCTGATGGAAAGTGGTAACCGTCGCCTATAGACATGAGCAGTACCATGAACATAACAGAGTATACTGTTTCGCCCATGATACCCCCAATGCGTTGCCATTCCTGAGGACTCAGGTGTTATTCCTCTGTACCCAGTAAATTCACGCCATATACGCCCACCCTTCAAACCGAAACACAGCCATGCAAACACAACTGCTTCACGGTTGACACACGAATGGGACAGACGTACCCAAGCAATCTACTTTTGTACAAAGTCTCCCTCTAGCTTCTTACGACACCTACAGGAAAGGAAGCTGTGGGTCATTCTATGCCGGGATCACACGGCCGGCTTCTATATAAATACACTTGTGTATAATATCATACAATCACAGTGTTATTTCACAACTGTATTATGTAAATTATGATTTAATTTGCACTCAGTCATCTAATTGCCGGATCCGAGGCCGTTGTATTATTTCACTTTTATCACCTTGTGAAAGGGAACACAATATGTGATTTCGAAATATATATAGTCTGACATTGGCATCCTTACAAATATTATAAATGTGAAAGTGAGTTCGTTTTTTAATAATAAGTAACTGGATGATCTAGCTCTGCTCGGTTAAAACGACATTTTCTAAAAATTAAACCTATCTAGTTAGATTAATCGCCCCCGAAACCCCCTGCATACTACATTTTATGAAAATCGTTGGAGCTGTTTCCAAGATTCAGATTATATATATATTGTATATATATATATATATATATATATATAATATATATATATATATATATATATATATATTTAATAAATATATATAAATTTAATTTTTTTTTATTATTTCACTATGTATATATATATATATATATATATATATATATATATATATATATAAAATTTAACATCAAATTGATAATTATCGCTGACAATTTGCTTTAATCGAAACACGCCCAAATTTAAATGACCGCATCACAACATAGCTTGTACACAACAGTGTAATAATTAAAAAAAAATATGTAAGAGGTATTTGTTTTTATGAATACGATATATTAAATAAAACATCAACTTAAAAGGTAGGATTAGAAAACGCCTAAATATTTTTTGGAGTAGACTTAAAAAGCGTCTTCTATCCTTATGAACATATATTTATTTATGTGTGTATATATTTATGTCTTTGTATATATGTATGCGTATGTATATACAATTACATACAGTATAATTAGTTATATATAGTCTTGTCTTTGTCTAGTTCTTTTTGTTTGAAATTTATCATAATATTGTACAGCGCTCTACTTGCTGACACTGATGCTCCTTTCCACTTTGGGTTTGCTAGAAGAGAACTCTTTTAGAGTTAAGCTCGCCTTTGTACATTTGCTTACTTCTGTCATATTTTTTATGTTTATTGGCGTGTACAATAAAATATTATATAAGGCTTATTTGTATAACAGATACTTACCACTGTTGCATGCTTGACAATAACAGCCGATCTTTTATGCGTACGCAACGACCTCGAGCGAAAGCTCGCACTTTCGCCTGGGGTCAGCCGCGAGCAATTATCATATCGATGCATGATTTTTATGCATACTATTAATAAATTCTCACCTTGTACAAGAGAAATCCAAATAATTACTGTACTAATCGAATAGTATTTACTTTCTTTCGTGTAGGTAGTTAATAGATATACGTGTCTAAAATAAAATGCCACAACATTTCTTTTTATTCGTATTTGTAGTAGAAACAATCATGATTCTAATAAATTTGATTACATTTTTTTTTTTGTATATTTTTTAAATGGTATATTTTTTGAGTAATTCCATATCAAGTATTGCTTCGTAATAGATCACTTAGAGTATTCAATACGAAATAATTCTTTTTAATCTTAGAAATTCGTAAACATAAAATAAAAGTAATGATTGTGTACCATACCACAAAAAACCGACCTCAATTAGTACTAAACTAGTTACTTTGACGTAAAACTTAACTACTGAACCGATTTTAATAAAATTTTCATGGAACTGTATCAGATTGACACTTACAGATACTATTTGGAAAATTATTTTTTTATCTGAAAGGATTTGAGAAGACTTTAGAATTGTCAATTAGAATCAATTTGTATATATATATATATATATATATATATATATATATATATATATATATATTACTATAAGCATCCTAATATTTTATACATAAATATAAGTACATGTATATAATATTAGGCTTTAAGAATATATATGTATCCTTAAATATGTATATTTATTCCAGTTTTCTAATTAAGCTATTAAGGATGTCGCGTTGCCGTGACATTATGGAGAAATGTTAACTAGAATTATGAACACGGATTCACACAGTTTTGTAAACTATTATGAGTCCACTCGGAGGCGCTTGGGCTACTTTACTGTCGGTGGTATACGTTACGTTTTGTTGAGTTACTTAATTTTATAATTGGACTAACGACCGGCTGCGGCTTTAGATTAAAAAATACTCATCAACCGTATAGATGAACCTTACAGATAAAAAATATGGTACTTCTATTTATTATTTCTTGTAGTTTTTTCCCGCGACTTCGTTCGCGTATCCCATTAATATTATAAATGCTAAAGTATGATAGAATGAATGGATAAATGTATAGATATTTGTTACTCATTCACGATAAAATTACTGAACGGATTTGAATGAAATTTTGTATACGGATAGGTTATATCCTAATGTAACATAGGATGGGACAGGACACACTATATGTACTGATTCACGCATGCAAATCTACGGGAAGTAGCTAATTTAAAATACGAAAATATTGATTAAAATAGAGCCTATATTCGTCCCTCGCCATTCCAAATAGACTTGCATAACAAATTTCTTAATAATAATGATTTATAAAGGTACCAGAACTTCATGTCACCTACAACGCCATCTGTTGAAAGTAATCCGAAGTAATGATTCTCATAAGAATTACCTATTTTTCAACTAAAGTTTAGACCGACTTTTTCTTTTCTTTTAAACCATATATTATATATTATACCCATATATATTATACCCAACAAAGAAATACCCAGTCAAGCTATTTTCGAGTTCTAGCAAGACTAACAAACAGCAATTGATTTATAAATAAATATAAATAGATATATATAAGAAAACTCATCGCAAATTACCGATTAATTGATTTTAAAGACGTTTAGCCTGTGTTTTCACATTTATTAATTATCTAGACTGTAAGTAATTCAATTTTTCTTAATTTTATGTGGTAGCTTATAATTAGCTTATTTTTGTCATGTACTTATAGTTAATTATTAAGTTATTACAACTGTAAGCTTCCTTGAAACAATAAATAAAATAAAATCTTATATATAAAATTCTCGTGTCACGGTGTTTGTTACCAAACTCCTCCGAAACGGCATAACCGATTTTTATGAAATTTTGTGTGCATATTGGATAGGTCTGAGAATCGGCCAACATCTATTTTTCATACCCCTCAATGATAAGGGTGACCCATCCCTAAATATATTTTTTTAATTTTTTTGACAAACTTTTTATTTTTATTTTATTATGACTAAGCATCGAAAAATACATACAGCTCTAAATTTTTACCCTTTTACGATCAATCCCTGTTTTTTAATCGCGATTTTTATATTCCGCAATAGGGTTGCAAGATGGCGATCGAATATAATAATTGTAGTAGGATAAATTTTCATGTATAGTTCTCGAAATAATGTATATAGTAAAACAACGTTTGCCGAGTCAGCTATTAATTAAATAAAAATTTAAAATCGAATATGCATACATTGAATAATTTTTATTCTCTTGTTAAAGTTAGAATTTTTTATAGAAACCATCTAAAATCACGATTTTAATATGTAAATATACAATTTTATTTGTCTGATTTGCATAAAACATTTTCACTTTCTCTCCAAAAGAGATCGATGCTTATGCAAAATAATTCCATTCGTTTCCATCGTGAGCAAGATCGAAATCGAAAGTGAGAGAGCTCTAGATATGCGTAGGCGCAATGTTATGTGAATCCTAAAGTAACCGTATGCAATAGCGATCCTTACTAATATTATAAACGTGAAAGTGAATTTGTTTGTTACATCTTGACGTCTTAACGACTCGTGTAATTATTGCAAAATTTGATTTGCATTCGAGGAGGACATAGAAGCTAGTTTTTACCCCAGTCAGTAGTAATGCCCGATAAAAAAATAAATAATAAAATAATGTATTACAACCATCATTACAGCCAGAGGGAGACTTTGTACAAAAGACGATTGCTTGGGTACCTCTGTCCCATTCGTGTTTCTACCGTGAAGCAGTTGTGTTTGCATGGCTGTGTTTCGGTTTGAAGGGTGCGATATGGCGTGAATTTACAATGGGTACAGAGGACTAACACCTGAGTCCTCAGGAATAGCAACGCATGGGGGGTATCATGGGCGAAACAGTATACTCTGTTATGTCCATGGTACTGCTCATGTCTGTAGACGACGGTTACCACTCTCCATCAGGTGGGCCGTCAGCTTGTTTGCCATTCTAAGTTGTATAAAAAAAATTATCGTCATCATATCTACTGCACTATAAAGGAAAGGGATTGTTAACAATGAAGTTTGACAGCCCCATTGCTAACTATATGCACTATTAGGTCGACCTCCACGTGGTTCCCCCTGGAAACAATCGTGAACAATTCTTGTTGAATTCGTCACGATGGGCTAACTGACCTGCTTCATCCTCACCTATCATCCTTCACTGGTGCCCCGCCGGTGTGTACCAATAGCACGGGTGGGGTTGTCATTCCATTATTACCTATTAAAAAAAAACTATGAAGGCCGTAATTTTATATGATCAATATTAATTGCAGCGCAGGCGAGGATGCCCTCGAGGGCCGCACGGAGGAAGCCCAGTTTCCCAGCGCAAGCGCACTCCGCCAATCACCACTTATGCGCCACTGTCCCTTACGAGCCCCAAAATGTCCGCCCGCGTCTAAAAGGTAAGTTATTTGCCAAAAAAAATCAAACATATTTTCTTAAAAATTAAGAAATTAAAATACCTAATGTTCCTAGAATCGTAATATATTTTAGACGATTTGCTTTGTCTGATTCTGGTATTTCCCTTGTATTTTTGTGTGGTTTTTTGTGTGACATTAAGAAATCATTTTAGCGGTTAGGTGGTGCAGTAGTCTCGTGTGTGCCGGCAAGATGACTTGACTCCAAAACACGAAGATATATTTAATCTGAAAGAAAAAAAATCTTGGCTCTGAAAGGGATATTAGCTTAATTGCCATAAGCAATGTAGGCACACAAATATTTATATTTTATAATAAAGCAAAAAAAAATAAATGATGGATGAAAATGATGATAATAAAATTATCCAACTCTAGACTATTACGATAGGAGTACAGATATGAATAGGTCAAAGTGCTCTTCGAAATTACAGTCAAATCTATTATCACACAGATACCGCACCCATGACGGCACATGCAACAATTTGAACAGACCCCGATGGGGGTCCACGATGACCCCCGTTCAACGCTTCCTCGCACCCTCGTACTCAGATGGCCTCCAAGCTCCCAGGAGATCAGTGTTCGGCGGGAAGCTCCCGTCGGCTCGCGAAATCAGCTCCCATATCCATGAGAGTAAGAACGTGGAATCGCCGGGCATAACTCACTTGCTAATGCAATGGGGGCAATTCGTTGATCATGATATCACATCGTCATCGCAAACTAGAGGCTTCAACGGATCCGTTCCGAGGTGCTGCAAAGATGGTGGAAGAGGCTTCGTGCCTAAGGAGTTATTAGTGAGTATTCTCAAAAGACCGTGGCCGTGTGGTCCCGGCATTGAATAGGCCACCCCTTCGTTTCCCGTGCGTATCGTAAGAGCCGACTTGGACGGGACAGCGTCCCTCTTAAACATCTCTCAAGTCTGACTGCGGTTGCCAATCTGTTTACCAAGCGTGGCAACTACAGGCAAAACTCCCCTTATAGAAGAGAGGGTATGTTCAGTAATGGACAGTTAAAGGCTGTTATGATGATGATGATGATTCTCAAGAGAACATTTTAAAAGTTTATTACAAAATATACTATATACATACCAGAGGGAGACTTTGTACGAAAGTCGATTGCGTGGGTACCTCTGTCCCATTCGTATTTCAACCGTGAAGCAGTTGTGTTTGCATGGCTGTGTTTCGGTTTGAAGGGTGGGATATGGCGTGAATTTACTGGGTACAGAGGAATAACACCTGAGTCCTCAGGAATGGCATCGCATAGGGGGTATCATGGGCGAAACAGTATACTCAGTTATGTCCATGATACTGCTCACGTTTATAGGCGACGGCTACCACTTTCCATCAGGTGGGCCGTCAGCTTGTTTGCCATTTTAAGTTGTATAAAAAAAAAAAAAAAAAAAAAAAAAAAAAAAAAAAAAAAATACTAACGACTACCTAGTCAATTATGGGATAGTCAGGGAAGTTCAAGGTCGGCAAAGCGCGCGTAATACCCCTGGTATTGCAGACGTTCATAATCAGTAAAAGCTATGATGCTTCAGTCAATTGCTTGGGTACCTCTGTCCCATTCGTGTTTCAACCATGAAGCAGTTGTATTTGCATGGCTGTGTTTCGGTTTGAAGGATGGGATATGGCGTGAATTTACAGGGTACAGAGGAATAACACCTGAATCCTCAGGAATGGCAACGAATGGAGAGTATTATGGGTGAAACAGTATACTCTGTTATGTCCATGTTACTGCTCATGTCTATAGGCGACGGTTACCACTTTCCATCAGGTGGGCCGTCAGCTTGTTTGCCATTCTAAGTTGTATAAAAAAAAAACACAGACACATCAAACTTTTAAACCCCTCTTTTCACACCGGGAGCTAAAATAGTTTCATGAGATGTTTGAAGTTTTATGGTTAAGGAGGTTTGGATACAAGACGGACAAACACAATTACTTAAGTAAACACCCGAAAAGTAGAAACTACTTATAAATATTACGCCAAAATAGTGAAAACACGAATCTTTGTGTTAAGTGGGACTCAAACCCGCAACTGTTTATTTAAAGACTCGAAGCAGACTCTATACTTTTAAAATCACTGCGAAAGTACTTTCACTTGGAGGCAGCAAATGTAATTCATCAGTACATGATTTTTTTTCTTTTTTGCCCACATGGGAAAACCACTGTACCGGATGCTGCTGTCTCGTTTTTTTTTTATTCGACTTAAAATGGTAAACAAGCTGACGGCCCACCTGATGAAAAATGGTCACCGTCGCCTATAGACAGGAGCAGTACCATGGACATAGCAAAGTACACTGAGTGGCCCATGAGACTATAAATCCTTCAAACAGAAACACAGCCATGCAAACGACTATTTCACAGCAGAAACACGAATGGGACAGAGATACCCAAGCAGATGAATTTTGTATAGACTCATTCTACCCATTTCATACATATAGTAGCAAAAACCAAAGCTAGGGTGGGAAAGGGATTATTAGTAATGGAGACTAAAAATCCCATTGCTAGCAGTATACCCAACCAGGTCGACCTCCTCGCGGTTCCCCCTGGAAACTATCATGGTTAATTCCTGATGAATTCATCATGGTAGGCTAACTGGCCTGTTTTCATTTTCATCTATCACCCTTCACTGGTGCTCCGCCAGCGTATTCCGTTAGCGCAGGCGGGGCTACCATACCATTTTCACGCATCAAAAAAAAACTAAAGCTAAGCAATATATTTGATGGCTACTTTTCTACGGGACTTCGTACGGATAAAATGAAGTGCTGGGAGGGATAGTTAGTAATGGAAACTAAAACCCCATTGCTACCAATATACCCTACCAAATCAAACATTGTGCAGGATTCCAGGTCTATTCACTAAATAACCGGCCTTTTCATCATCACCTACCATATGTCATCTCTCACTGGTGCCCCGCCAGCCTATACCGTTAGCGCGGGCAAGGTTACCATTCCATTATCATCCATTAAAAAATTGAAATGCTGAACTGTACTAAAAAAATGTAATTTCAGCATCCAGAATGTTTCCCTATCGAAGTGTCACCGTCAGACCCATTTTACGGTCCTCGCGGAGTAAGGTGCCTGGACTTCGTCAGGTCATCACCGGCGCCCCGCGATGACTGCTCTCTCGGATGGCGGGAACAACTGAACCAAGTGTCGGCTTACATTGATGGATCACCACTGTACGCTAGCTCAGCGAGGCAGTCCGACAAATTAAGGCTTTTCAGGAATGGTAAGTATTATATGTTAGACTGGTTGCTTTATTATGTTTTATGGAAGGAACTTTATCAGGTGATAAACATGTCAAAATATTTCGAAAAACATGATTTTCTACTGTATTTAATATAACAGTACAAGCCAATTAGTTCATAACACGACGGCACGTTAAACTTAAATAAACTCTAAGACTTTACCAGAGGGAGACTTTGTATAAAAGTCGATTGCTTGGGTACCTCTGTACCATTCGTGTTTCAACCGTAAAGCAGTTGTTTGCATGGCTGTGTTTCAGTTTGAAGGGTGGGATATGGCGTGAATTTACTGGGTACAGAGGAATAACACCTGAGTCCTCAGGAATGGCAACGCATGGGAAGTATAATGGACGAAACAGTGTACTCTGTTACGTCCATGGTACTGCTCATGTCTATAGGCGACGGTTACCACTTTCCATCAGGTGGGTCGTCAGCTTGTTTGCCATTATAAGTTGTATAAAAAAAAAGACTCGAGGCTGTGAAGACACTGATATAACTAAAAACCTTAACTCAGATAACTATTTGTTTGTTTGTAACACTTTACAGTACAGTTAACTTTACATACAGTTAAGTTTTATATTACAAGACACATAGTTCTTAAGAAAAGAATAAGTACACTGGCAGACTTATCTCATAAAAGGGATTTCTTCCAGTGAATCCTTAAATATCTCACAAAAATTGTGAATTGGTGGAGACAGAAAATTTATGTGCGTTCACAACACACAAAGCCTGTCGAAGCAAAACTATTGAGAAGAGAAAAAGAAATTTGATGACAAATATTTACTACTTTGCCGTGTGACCGTGTGGTCCCGGCATAGAAAAGGCCAGCTCTTCCTTTCCCGTGAGTGTCGTAAGAGGCGAGTAAGAGAGGGCGTGGGATGGGCAGCAGCGTTCCTCTTAAAATATCTCCAAAGCCTAACTGCGGTTGCCAATCCGCCTGCCAAGGGTGGCAACTACTGGCAAAACCCCCCTAAGGGAAGGCTTATGTTCAGCAGTGGACAGTTAAACACTGATATGATAATGATCATTTACTTTATTACTCGATATAATATCACAAAAAGCTTTATTTTCTGATCATCAATTGTTTCAAATTAGGAATGCTCCAATACGGTCGCGTACAGCAACGCCGACCGCTTCTACCACCCGAACGGCACGACGAGCTCTGTCGAGGTGGCGCAGTCTCCACGGATTGCTTCAAGTCCGGAGACGCCAGGGTCAATGAACAACCGGGACTGGTGGCTGCACATATTGTATGGCTGAGACAGCACAACAGGTTAGAGATCTTTTATTTATTGTGCTCAAAATGACAAACAAGCTGACGGCCCACCTGGTAGAAAGTGGATACGGTTGCCTATAGATAGGAACAATATCATTGACATTACAGAATACCCATGTTACCTCATGCGCAGCCATTTATTTTTTATTCAACTTAGAACGACAAACAAGCTGACGGTCCACCTGGTATCTGGTAACCGTCGGCTATAGACTTCACAAATACCATGGGCATAACAGAGTATAGGTACTGTATCACCCATGATACCTCCCATCCGTTGTCCTGAGAACTATGGCGTTTTGCCTTTATATCCAGTAATTCTACTCTCCTTCTAAACCGAAACTAAGTAATGTAAGCACAGCTAAATATAATAATAACAGGTACTTTATAAAGAAAGTTCTCAGTTCCAATTTTTTCGTCTTCCTTGCCCTCGCGCCTTGCCGCATGCTATTGGGCTTTCCTAAACACTTACAATTTTGAACTTTCGTGTTGTTGACACATATTTTAAATACATTATCGGGACGGAACTTTACACCACCTAAATTGCAAATAAATAGTACTAAATAGCAGGTATATCTAAATTTTTATTGCTGGCGTTTTGTCGTGACCACGACGTGGTGCAATCCAAGTCGGAACGGTGGCAATAAAAATCAGATATGTAGGTACGATTTACCTTCAATTCTTGTCGCGTTGAGCCCCAATAGTATATTTAGAACTTAATAAATGTTGATAAGTATTCCTATCATAACATGGACATTAATCTTCCAAATAACTGAAGGTCTAGCTCGTAATTTTTATCTCTTTGGATTCTACTATATTTCTTGCATATGTGTTATGTGCTATTCTTGCCAATTGCAAACCAATATTGAAGATTTTTTATTTAAAATCACGTAATTATATATCAAAATTGAAAGATATTTCATAATAATTCTAAACATTTTAACTCGCGTATAAAATTTAAAATCGGAGATGCTTGTCCATAGAATGGCACAAGAACTGGCCCATCTCAACCCTCATTGGAGCGACGAGAAGATCTACCAGGAGACACGGAAAATAGTGGGAGCAATGATCCAACATATCACCTATAGAGAATTCCTACCCATTATTCTAGGTAAGTACATGTATAATTACTTTATTTATTACGAAAGTGGAAAACAAGCTTACAGCCCATCTGATGATAAATGGCTTGCAAAACTAGGCCGAACCTGAAGAAACCTTAACACAGCCTCTTTAAAAAACCCCATAGTGTAATCTGTAAGGAAAACCTTTGCAAGGAGCTTATTTCAAAACCATACTACATACATACTACAGGATAAATTCAAAAACATCAGCATCTGCAATGCAGTGCAATTGTTCTGAAGTGATGCAGTTGCATACATTCGAAAATCGATTTTTATATTCATCTATTTTTATGTATACTTTTTTTTATATGTATCTTGATGTATCTATATTTAATTACTTAACAAGTGCGTTTTTTTTTCTCATTAAAGTATGCAAAAATTATAATACAAAATAAATACAAAAATTATAAATAAAATATAAATTTATAACTATTTATCATGCAAAATTGTGTGAAAAAGTTAACCCGCTTTTCTCGAAGTATTTGTATGGAGCTTTTGTATTTATATCTCTATCTATATAATCTAAGGAATGGAAGTACATATCTAAAAAGCTTTTTATTAAACATACTAAATTAAATACTGGATTATTGACTCGTTGATTATTATTTTTAAAACTTACGTTCTTAAGTCAAAACAATTATTAAAATCAGCAAATACAGTAAGTTCGTTAAATTAATTATGTATATTATATATTATATATATATATATATATATATATAATATATAATATATATAATTACCAAATTCCTTATAATTGTTTACTTCATTTCATACTGTATAGCTATGTTGAAGTAAATGCTTTGAATGTCTTCAATAGGCATGTGCATTAATATTGTACCATATTCTATTTAATGTATATAACGTTATAATACAATATGCTGTTGGTGTTCCTATAAATAAATATTATAGTCCTGATAATTTTCCAGGTACGGAGGTTATGCGTTTATTCGAACTGGAGTTACTGAAAAAGGGTTACTACAAAGACTACAACCCGAAAACCAACGCCAGTCCGGCGAGTTCGTTCGCCTCAGCCGCGTTCCGATTCGGTCATAGCTTAGTCCAGTCCTCTATGGTGCGGTATGATAGGTTTCACAGGCCTATGAACAACAGTAAGTAATTATAAACTTTGAATATATATTAATTCTTTTATATGCAACTTAGAATGGCAAGCAAGTTGACGACCTACCTGATGAAAAGTAATGCAATAACCGTCGCTTATAGACATGAGCAGTACCGTGTACATAATAGAATTTACTGTATCGTCCATGATATCTCCCATGCGTTGCCATTCCTGAGGACTCAGTTGTTATTCCTGTGTACCCTGTAAATTCACGCCATATCCCACCCATCAAACGGAAATACACCCATGCAAACACAACTGCTTCACGGTAGGAACACGAATGGAACAGAGATGGCCAAGCAAACGACTTTTGTACAAAGTCTCCCTCTGGTATTTCTATATGTGTTTTATATAACGAATCGTATGTATGTGTTCTTTATTGATATAAATATACAATACTAAAATATTTATTACAGACGTAAGTCTTCATAACGAAGTAACCAATCCGTCTAACATTTGGAGCATGGGCGCTGTGGACCGTCTTTTATTAGGCATGGTGAACCAACCGATTCAAAAACGCGATGAATTCATCACCGAGGAACTAACCAATCATCTATTCCAAACGCCCCAGTTCGATTTCGGTATGGATTTGGCTGCCATCAATATACAGAGGGGGAGAGATCATGGGGTACCCCCGTATACTTCTTGGAGGGAGCCGTGTGGGTTGTCGCCGATTTTGGAGTTTGAAGATCTTTTTAGAGTGATGCCAGCGAGAGCTATGAGGAAGTTAAAGAGTTTGTATAGGTAACGCTCATTATTGTCATTAAATAGTATTTACTTCGCCTGTGGGGAATTCCACGACGTGACATTTTCCATGTTTATCCTGTAACTTCAGGTTTATATCTCATTTTAGCTTTATATGTCTTATTAGTTCCCTCTTTCTATCAGATACACCGTCAAACTTTACAATTAGATAAAAAAAATCTTATTTCTTTACATCAGCAAAGACTTTTAAATGTCATTTAGTTATAAATTAATTTCTAAATTAGTTTTATCCAAGAATCAAATCTAATAATACACTAAACCAAATTATTATCATCATTCGAAAATCATCATTACCATATCAGCCGTTTTCGGCCCACTCCCTACAAGGGTTTTGTCAATAGTTGTTATGCTTAGCAAGCATGTTGGCAACCACGGTTAGGTTTTGGTGACATTTTAAAAGTGGCACTACTGTCCATCCTCCGACTATTATGTTCTCTTAGTCGCCTCTTACGACATCCACGGGAAAGAAAGGGGTAGCCCATTCTGTTCCGAAACCACATGGCATTCAAATATATTCAAAAATTCAATTCTAAAATGCAGTCAATCTACTAATAAAGGATGCTAATATCATATATTTCTTTCAGACATGTAGATGACATAGACTTATTCACCGGAGGCATGTCGGAAAGACCCGTAATCGGAGGACTTGTAGGACCAACATTCGCTTGTATCATCGCCCAACAATTTTCTAATCTTAGAAAAGGAGACCGATTTTGGTAAATACTAAAGAACTAATAATAAAGATGCTGCTTTTGAAGTTATAAAAATTCTCTAATGATAATTTTATTTTTAGGTACGAGAATGGAGGTTTCGAATCATCTTTCACACCAGCACAACTGCAGCAAATACGTAGAATATCATTCGCACAAGTTCTCTGTCACACATTAGACAATATCGACAGTATCCAACCGTTCGTTTTCCTTTCACCGGATAATCCCGACAATGACAGAATTTCGTGTCACAACGGTCTTCTCAACAACTTTGACTTATCCGCCTGGGTAGAATTAAGTTCGGATTCTAATGACATTAAAAAATCTGACGACGAACCAAGTACCCAAAAACCTAAACGTACTAAACCTACTACTACTACGCAAAAACCTACAACGACGAAGCCAAAAAAGACTCAACAACTAATATCAAGTGCCGGATCTACTCACATGTCACATAAGATACCATCGCTTAATTTGACTAGCTCTAATAAATTACAAAACATTACAGATAATAAACTGACTGATAAACTAAACAAAACAAATACAATGACAAAAGAAAAAGCTAATAATGCCACTTTGACGGTAGATAAGAATAATATGAAAGCTAACTTGACAGCCCAGAAGATAGATGACAAACTTGACTTTAAAAACAAAAGCAGACGTTACGATGATGAAAGAATTCACTTGCGACATGACATTAGACCACAAAGTAAACCGACAAATAAATATAATGACTACGACTACGAAGAGAGGGACCATGACATACAGAACGTACAGTCCGTCGTTATAAACAATTTACCACACAAACGACCATACAACAGACCTATTATAACTGTTACTGAAAACGTTAACAAATACACTTACCTTATCAACTATGTACCGAGACCAACTGAATCCTGGCGTAGGACCACAAAAAGGAATTATGACGGAGAAGACGTAGTTAAAGTGACTTATCAGACATACGACGACACATACAGGCGCCCAAACAAGCCCTACTATTACAACCGACGAGACGACCTAGTCGATGACAATTATTATGATAAACCTAAACACAAATCAAATCCACATTCAGCCCACTTAAGGGATAATTTACAGTCATCTGCGAGATCAAACGACGAAACAGTACGGACTACAGCAAAAACTACAACGACCACAGACAAATTTGATGATACTTTAGAATATAAGAGCACAACAGAAAATTTATATAAATTAGTAACTTTTGGATATGTAGGTAGTTATAAAGGTAGTGACACTAATACGAGACGCATAACTAATATTGACAAATCTGACAAAAATGAATTAAAACATGACATAATAAGTAAAGATTTTACCACTTACGTAACTAATAAACCAGAAACTTTGTATGACAATGACAAGACAAATATGAGACTTTCTACTTTCTTCATGTATGAAACAGCAACGAAACCGTACTTACAAAGACCGACGAGACGACATGACGAAAACCGTCCCGTTAAAACTAAGAACAAATATTATTACATCCAAAATGTTTTACATAAATATCCTGAACCTGACACGACTGGGACTGATAAACAATCTGAAATAAGGACAGACATTCTAAAAGAAAATCACAATTATTCAGGAGTTGGAGAAAATATAGAGGAAAGATCATCAGCTGATAAACTGGCTTTGTTACATGAGATTGAATCGAAATCAAACAACCATGTAAGACAAAGGGTGAAGGTAAAGAAACCGACAAGTCCAGCGAAGACACCATCTGTCGCTTTTCAAGTCATACCAAGTGAAAACAGGTAAAACTTATTTCTGTAAACATTAAGCTATTTTATATTAGCTATATTTTGCAACTTTGTCGCAGTCGTATACCAAATTTCCTTAAAATCTGTTAAGTAGTTTTTGAGTTTTAATGCAACAAACATCCATCCATTTGCAATAATAATAGGATTTAAATAAATTTACAAGATTAATTTTGTTAATGTATGAATTTTATTTCAGTCCTATGCAATGGGCTGTTTATGAAGAAATTGCTGAACTTTCCGAAGATTTCCCACATCGGATGCCACCAATAAAGACAGACCCCCATGCGTTGAAGGAAATACCAAGACCTATGAACCTAAAGAGCCTGAGAAGACGAAGACCTGGAATGTTTTGATGTTAAACCTTAAAATATTCTTGTACATAATGATCATTAATAATGATTAGTTCTCTCTAAACATAAAGAATGGAAGAAGAGCGTGTAATAGGGTCAATTAACATGTATGTAAAAATAACATTATAAAATTCAATTCATTATTCTAATAATTATTTTAATAAACAAAATTTAAATATTGAAAAATTAAGAAACAGACAGCTAAAAAGGAATTAATAGTTTTTTTTTTTTTTAATTTTTAACTAATAATGATTACAATCAAATAATATTTTTAAATGTCAATATAAATATTACAAAGAATAAAGTAAATTAATTAAAATAAATAAAACCGAAATCAATAAGACATAGCAAAATGTTCCAAAAATATCTTTATCAGTGGACATACAATTGATGGACAGACAAATTTTATCTAAAATTGAACTAGACAAATTTGACTAGATTAACGAAGACTGACTATCACTGACTACAACAAGCTGACTAACATAACTATGACACATGACTTAGACAACATGGACAGGAACTTATACTCTTAAGAAAGAAACGTACTGATACAAACATAAAAACAGTGACAAATACAGACTGCCTATTTGTTCTTAGTCGACTGACCTAATAATAGTAGACTATTTGTGAAACTGACAATTAAAAAACAATTGTAATCGTATTACGACGACTGACACTAAATAAATTACTAAAAGTACTTACACTCCATGACAGTCTATAATTACGACGGATAAAGTATGACAAAAAAATCTGTAAAAAAATTATATTAATAGCTTAATACATAATAACAGTAATACAAGTGTTACTTACACAAATTGACGATTTGATTAAAAGACATCTGATTCTATTTATAACTAAATTGAAAGCCATTATATATTACAGGACCAATGAATGACAGATACTTCAGGGATAAACACAATAATAACGGAATATGTAATAATAGAAGTTAAACTATATTATAATAGCCAATTTTATAAATATTAATGACTGTACTTGTACTAAACAAGACATGACAACGGCTTAGTAATAAAAAGCGACAATAGGGTCGGTCTAAGTCCATTTATCTACCACTTTTTTTTTATTAAAATTTTTTTTTGCTATCACAGCAAAATTTGTATTCCAAGAACCAATTTCTAATACATTTAAGTGAGAATTATTATAAATTTAGTTTAGAAAATTATTATTTGTAATCACTGTTTTATGGACTTATAGTGGTCCATTGTAATTTCGCAAAATGATCAATTTAAAATATTAGGTGAAGGGATAGGTTTAGAAAAATAACACCTCAATATCGACCCATACATTAAGGGCAGTATTTTCGAATCGACCCCGATGTCGACAAAACATGTAAGACTGATGACATGACAATTATAATAAATTATGTTGTTGTATTTATTTTACAACATCATAACTTATTATAAAACATTATGACAAGATACCTCGGAAATAAGTATAGCTTTGTTTACAATTAAAGACTACTAACGACTGACTTAGACAACTTAATAACTTATGACTGTACGACTTACGACATTGACATAGCTGAGAAGTAAATACCTACACTTTTATTAAGACTGACCATAAGAAGTAAAGATCTCGAATTTATCCTCAGACATAAATATAATTTGTGGCTAGAAATTAAAGACGGACGACACGACTCAGTAGCTAAATTTATTTCTAATTTCAAAAGTTCAGAATAAGATAACTTATGACAATGACATATGACAAATGGTGTAATTTTGATAAAACTGTCAATATGACATAAAGACCTCGAGTTTATTCTCAATAAATACAAATTTGGCAGAAATTATAAGACAAACGATACACACCTGACAGAATGACTAAATTTATTTCCAATTTCAAAACTTAAAACAAGACAGGACACGACAATGACATATCATAATAAATACAATTTTGACGACACTGACATAGTGACAAATTACAAATTTATCTGTAAGGATAAATTAAACTCCTGACTTAAATGTAAAACGACACGACATGATATAATAGCTAAATTTATATCCCTACTAATAATTTAAATGTGAAAGTAAATTTGTTTGTTTGTTACCTTACAGCGCCTTAACGACTTGACTAATCACTATGAAATTTGGTATACACATCGCACTATATGGGATGATGGGGAGAAAGATATAGGCTTTTTATAATATAACATAAAATCTGTAATTTATTCATGAAGGTAAATACTATGACCTACGAAATGTAGAACTAATGACAACGACACTGTACTTATTTCAAAATATATTCGAAGACTACAACAACGACGTATAAGTACAATTGTGACAGAATATATAAGACTGACTATACGACTTTATTATATTTACTTATACCTTCATAGTTTAATATAACACATACCTCGGGAATGAATATAACTTGGATAGACATGTAAGATCCATGACATGACATAAAAATGATCTATTCTTATCTATAATTTATTATGACATAACTCTTACATGACTCTAGAATAAATATAACTATGACATCGGACGAAAACTTGACGCTAATGACATATAATAAAAACATAATTATAATTCCTTAATTAATATTACAAGACAAAATATAGACATGACAAGGGACAAAATACAATTTTGACAGAATAATACAAGACTGACATGATATAAAGGTACTCAATTTCGTTTTTAATTTGATGATTTACAATGATTAACTATTAAACTCATCGAAAACAAAACAAACACAATCTGTAGGTTACCTAAAACGTGCGACATGACATAATATAATATTTGTTACTTCATAACCGGACATGACTTACAATAATGACATAACTAAGACCAAAATACACATTTGCCAGAATATGTAAACTGACAGAATATACAGACGAGACGACAATACAACACTTTATTAATATATTTGCAACTTGACTGATACCGACATAAGATATTTTTATCGTTCCTCCATAAATTAAGTTCCCTTATAAAAAATATACCGACTTCTACCTCCGGTATAATCATAAGTTCGCCAAAATATGTAAGACTAATGACATAACATGTAATTTTATTTATAACCTGATAACTTAGTACAAGACTTATGACAATAACATATTTATAGTACAGGTAGAACTTTGATAGGTTAAAAAGACCTTTATTATTTAACCGGTCACCTTAACTCATGACGTGTTCAGGATTACGATGACATACAATATTTATACAAATATTACTGACTGTGTTATCAATATGACGACTCAAAAACAACTGATTCTTTCATGACTGTATTTAGTTGAAAACCAATAACACATACCCCAGGGTCAGATATGACAATAATGACAGAATATATAAGACAGACTTAGATTATATAGATAGAGCATCAAGCCTCAAAAATGGGTCAACTAATTGTCAAATTAGATGACTCGGTTTTTTTCTATTAATATTCTATATATTTACGCATAAAATGTATCTTATCTAAATAAAATGCGTAATTATCCATTAAAAAGATGCAAAAATTATAAGATAAAATAAATATAGAAGTAATAAAGGAGTCATTCATAACTATTTATCACGTAAAATTGTATGAAAAATTTGACCCGTTTTCCTCGAATCATTTCTATGGAGACACTATATATATCTAAGAAGACAGACTACACCATTTCAACATACTACATTTTATTTGTAAATTTCATGACTGTACTTGTAAATTTAACTCATGACGGCTTACAATTACTTACTATTGACTTCCAAGACAGTGATCCCTGGTTTTTATACAACTTTGACGGATTTTACAAGACTGACGACACGACATCTACCTCAAAATACATTTTGAACTTGATAATTTAACATAAGACAATACATAACAACGACTGACATACTTTGAATTTCAATCTTTTATATTTTTCCAAAGATGTTAGGTACATCTTTGGCAGTATATATAAGATTTATTAGATTAATATAACTAGAAAAACTAATAAGAACACAATAATGAGATAATGACAGTATAGTTAACAACATGCCTCAGCGTTAGACATAATCCAGGTGACGTCTGCGACTCAAATAAAACGTCCATTTTAAGTAATTCAGTGACTAAAAATCGACGTCAATATAACGAATACTCGCTACCTGGGAAATTTTGGCAGAATATGTAAGACTGACGACAAGACATTAAGTATTTAATTTATTTATCATTTGATGATTTAAGTACAAGACTGTTACATACATACAAAATAGGTACAACTACTAGCAACAGGACACTTAGTACTAAATTCACTGTAAATTAATGTCATTGTACTAAATGACATTTAATTATATTTTTATAAGAAATGTTCTCACTTTTGTAAACAAGATGTGGAAAATTTTATAGATTTTTTTTTTTATTTATTAGTAGATAGTCAACCTGAAATAAAACTATTGTAGATCTCTTTAATGTGAAAGCCTTTATGGTACCACTTGTTTTGACTGTACCTACTAAGTATAAATAAAGGTGGTATTTGTTGCATGACTGTCACATACTTCTAAATTTAATGAAGCATACCACCGACCCTTTTAGATTTTGTAAATTACATAGTACATATAAGCACAAGATAATTCATTTTTTTTTTTGTAATTTATTTGTATTCGTAAATTTCGTACTAAGTTTTTTTTTTCAGTAATGAACCATAAAGTTTTTGTAGAATATGTCATTTGGACCTAAACTTTATATAAATTTAATTGAATTTATGAAACTTGTTATCTTCCATTCTCATTTGGGAATATATCCGACATTCCACAGGAATTATGTTTTACCATAATTGTTTTCTTGGCATTGTGTAGTATTTTATTAATGTAAATTTTTCTTTAAATCGCTTCTGTAACTTCAACAATTACTCTAAACAAATCTTACGACATTGTAACTGTATAAGATTTGTTTGATGTAATGCACTTCACAACAAGCTATAATTATATTATTCAATTAGTCTTAAAAGATCAGAACTACTCGCAATAAAACAACTAAGTAACCATAAAACAATGATAATGTAATTTAACCTTGAAAATTATAACTGCAAAACATTAGATAACACAATTACTACATAATTATACTAAATGTATATTAATGATAACTAAATCATGGTGAAAATGTTAAAAAACTGTAATAGAAAATTTTATTAGAAGTGCCTTAATTCTGGCTCTTAATATGGTATAACACAATGATTGTATTTCATATGTGATTAAACTAAAAAATACCACATTGTTATCAGGTTTAGAATATCCAAATCTTATATGAATGATGAAATTACATCTGTCTGTTTAATCATAAAAATAATGATGTATAGTGTACATATACATGTAGGTACATGTATGATGCAATAATAACATGTTATGTACTTTTATAACATTATATTTTGAATCATTTTACATTCCATAAACAATTTATAACAATTTTTTTTTAAACTTAAGAGAATAAATAAAGACGACAGAACACAAAAGCACTGTTTCATTTATGATTATACTTAATTATAATAAATATAAATCAACATGTAGTTATAGTAATAACCGCCATGCTATGCCCATGGGCATTGGCCACCCCTTTCTTTCCCGTGAATGTTGTAAGAGGCGACTGTGGGAACTAAATTGTCGAGAGATGGACAGTAGCTTCCTTTCAAGCATGCCACCAATGCTTATGGGGTAAACCCAAGTTCAGCCATGAATAGTTCACAACTTTAATCGATTTATCACAAATCCATTTGGTATTGGCCTTAAAAAGCTAGAACAACAATCAACATGAATAAACATTTTAAATGTTTTGCCAAACACTGAATAAATAGTTAACAGTAATAGTTATGTTATTTTCAATTATCTACAGGAATTTAACTTATTTAAATACAAATCTTTCACTGAGGTTATCTTATAAATTAGCTTATCATATAAATGGATCAATTTATCTCCAGTTATCAATAATGATGGTACAGATTCCTGTATTTGAATAAACCTGTATTTTGAATAAACTTTATTCAAAGTTTATTCAAAAACGTGAAAGTAACCCACTAAAAATAACTTTCCAATTCATTTCTACAAATCAAAACCATGTTACAATTATTGTTAAAATAGTTGAGCAAATCTGAGTTTATAAATTTTTTTTTTCACTGGATGTAATAGTACTAGCTAGACCCAAATTATTTAGAACTTGTTTTATAAGTACTAAATAATAAATTGCATACTGAAATATATTTCAAGGTTGGATTAAGAATCTTGCATCTGGTTTAGTAAGCAAGGTTAAAATCTAGGCAGGTATATTAAATATATATATATATATATATATATATATATATATATATATATATATATATATATATATATATATATATATATATATATATATATATATATATATATATATATATATATATACATACATAGATACCTTTCAGTATGGTCACTAAGCATTTAAAATTAGACATGGGCAATATGGATACAGATCCAAAATCTATATATTGGGTTTCTCTGGACATTGATAGCAGAATAAAGGTCAACACTTATTCGATATTGACGACATCAAAATATATAGATATTAATATATATTAAGAATGGGTAATATGTAACAATATATGTTCCATTCGTGTTTCTGTCGTGAAGCAGTTGTGTTTGCATGGCTGTGTTTCGGTTTTAAGGGTGGGATATGGCGTGAATTTACTGGGTACAGAGCAATAACACCTGAGTCCTTAGGAATGGCAACGCATGGGGGGTATCATGGGCGAAACAGTATACTCTGTTATGTTAATGATACTGCTCATACCTATAGGCGTTGATTACCACTTTCCATCAGGTGAACCGTCAGCTTGTTTGCCATTCTAAGTTGTATAAAAAATAATAATATGACACCTATAAAATCAAAAGCAGCTAAACACCATATATTCTATTTACAGATGGGCAAAGCACCGGGTTTAAACCCGGTGCTTTGGTAAAAACCCAATAAACACCCATAAACTCCCATAATCACCCAAAAAAATAGGTTTTTACGTATTTTTTTGAAAATATGTAAGTAATACCAATAAATTATTTTTATAAATTGTATTGATCAATTCTACAATATTAAATAAAACGTTAACTAATAATATTTCAGGAAATTTTAAAAATCTATATATAATAAAATGAAAGTAATTAATTTTCAGTGTTTTCATGTTGCAGTTGATCAACATGTTGGCCTTTTGCTTCCCGTAGATACTTTAAAATTTCTTCATAACACCTCGTTCGCACACATGGCCGTATATATTTAAATTCTTGAGCCACTAACAGTCCGAAATACTCATTTCTTTTATCCTCTTCTCCATAAATTAAGCATTTAGAACAGTTTGTTTCTTCTTTCAGTAAATTTTCTTTTACTTTATCCTCGTTTTTTTCTTTGTTGCGACGACGCTGGGTAAATCATCTGGACACTGGGTCTCACTATCGCCAAATATATTTGGAGATCGGCTTCGGCTACGGCTTGGCAGACATTTTTTTCTTTCTACAATTTTAAATTAAATTTATTAGAATAAATGCTTCGAACACACGCGATCTAAGTACCTTTTGTGTTTATTATACCTTACCTACCTAGGTATAAAAAGAGTACTTACGTAGATTTTTTTTTATTAACTGTTTTATACGAAGATCTTGATCTCTCAAATTAGCATCCATTTTACTTCCAGTGATTATCAACTAAATTAATAATCCACAAAGTATTAAATAACGTTTTTATGAAATATTTAGCACAAAAACAATACCCTTTAAATATCGATCGTCAGTAACTGTGGCTGACTTACCTATATTCTAGCAAGCAGGACTGCCAGATGTGAAGGGGAAATCCCCAATAAATTGTTGCATGTGACTGATGATGTGAGCATGTTCGTTTCATAATAAAAATGTTGCCAGGTAACCAAAAAGTCGTATGTTTTTGTGCGAATTACGATCATAATCTTTACGATCGTACATTAAAAAATAGACAAATAATAGTATGAGTACGATTTAAATCGTATATCTGTCAACCCTGCTAGCAAGACAGCGACAAAATCACGTTGCATAACAATGTAGCCCAAGCTTATATCTTATGAAATATACGGAAGAGATACGGACTTAGAAAAAACAGAAATGTTGTTCTTTGTGGAAGTCATTGATGAAATTCTATGTATTTTAGCCCGCAAACTTTCTTCAAACAAAAACAGCGCCATCTAGTATCGAGTTCTGTAATTATCTCTTTGTTTATGGATTTGAAGTAAGACCGCCACGCATGCAATACATTATGACTGGGGATTCCCCTATTCGTCGACGCTGAATATGAGGCGACGACAATCACTGTCAAACGTGTTCACTATTACTCTGACTCTGGTAACGTGACTTCCTGGTAACGTGTTAGGTAGGAAAAGCAGTAAAAAAGTGCATATTAAGGGAGCAGATTTGAAATAATATTTATACTTAACAAGAAATAATTAAAGGTAAGTGGATTTTTGAATGATACAATTATATCATGATCACTTAACAATTTTAACTTAAAATTAGATGTATTATTACAAGCTTTTATTTAGCTTGCGTTATGTAAATAAAAGTATGTAGGTATGTTCGTATGTTGATGCAATTATCCTCAATCCTCAACCGACTGGGATAAAATTTTCCATACACGTTTATTTTGGATGATAGTGCATAGTTAGCTGAGAGTCGTCATTGGATAATAATGGTGGATAGCCTAAGATGTGTACTAGATATTTATTTTTAACATAATATGCGTAAGTACCTAATCGAATTAAAGAAGTTGCTGAGAAAAATACAGAACAATACGATAATAAACTAGCGTCTGCGTTTAATCCTCCGAGGAGATGTAATTTTACAAAGGTTTTTTGTATTTATTTTATTATTTTTTTAATAAATTTATTGTAAATAACAAGAAATAATCATTGTAAAAAAATAGGCACTCTATTGTTGAATTTTCGTCAGACCAACTAATCATCGTTCATTTTTTTAGGTTCAATGGGGAGACCTAAAGATTTACGCATATGGGAGCACTACCGTACTTTACCAAACAAGTCTGTTTCTTGCAAGCTTTGTAATAAGGTCTACAAATTCAGTAATGCTGCCAAAATGCTTCAACATCTTATCACTTGTCCAAAATCTCCAGAAACATTAAAAGACTCTATGAAACTTATAAAAGATAGCTCGTCCAAAACCAAAATGTCTGGACTGTCAGAGATAGAGACAAATGATTCTTTTATAAGCCCCTCGTCGTCTGCTAACACTACAATAAATGCTGAGTTTCAAGACACCGATGATCATATAAAAACAGAATTAGCGAGAGCTATATTTGTAACAGGGACGCCATTATCGATGGTGCAACATCCTTTATGGATACAATTTTTCGAAAAATTGCAACCAAAATTTAAAATACCTTCACGTAAAGCTTTAGCGACAAAATACTTAGATAAAATATATAGAGAAATGCGTTTTGAGTTAAATGAGGAACTAAATGCTTGTAGTTACTTACACCTTCAGTGCGATGGCTGGTCTAATTTAAGAAATGAAGGAATAATAAACTTTCTTATATCAAAACCTCAACCTGCATACGTTAAAAGTTTGAATACAGAAAGTAATCCTCACACTAGTGAATACCTTAGCCAAGAAGTTGAAAAAGTAATGAAAGTGTATGGAGCAAATAAGTTTCTTGTACTTATTGGCGATAACGCTAGAAATATACAAAAGGCATTCGAATTAACAAAACTCAAATATCCACATGTTGTTCCTCTCGGTTGCTGTGCACATATCCTTAACTTGTTGTGCCAAGATATTGTAAAGATACAAGAAGTAACTGTGTTTATTATGCAAGCCATAAATATAATAAAAATTGTTAAAAGGAGTCAACGATTAAGTTCCTTGTTGATAAAATCAAGGCAGGGTGAAGATTCTACACAAACACTAAAATTGCCTTGTGCTACAAGATGGGGAAGTCATGTTACTTCGTTAAAAAGTTTGAAAGCAAATAAGATAGCTTTGCAAATATTAACAGTTAGAGAAGATGTGGTAATTTCAAGAGATATTAAAGATTTAATTCTAAGTGATGATTTCTGGACGAAGACAGGGGAATGTATAAGTATTTTGGAACCAGTCACTGAAAGCATATTTTACTTAGAGAGCGACCAGAATCGTTTGCATCGCACATACATTACATTTAGAGATGTACAAGCTAAGATACGTTTTGCATTAAATGAGATTTCGACATTGAGCGAAGAAAGCAAACAGCAGATTCTAACATCAGTATCTTCAAGATGCAATATGGCAATGAGGCCAATACATTTTGCAGCATATATTCTAGACCCCAGGACTCTAGGAGTCGAACTTACTCAAGAGGAAGAACTTAAGGGTATGGAGTTTATCTACAATTTAAGCCAACACTTAAGTTTGTCAAATGTAATGGCAGATTTGGCGTGTTATAAAGCTAAAGAAAACTTTTGGGCCAGAGGATTTGTATGGAGCTCATTAGATAGCATTGAGCCCCTAATATGGTGGAAAGGTATTTGTGGTTCCACTGAGTTAAGCAAAGTAGCGATTCGTATTCTATCAGCTCCCTGTACTTCGGCAGCCACTGAGCGTTCCTTTAGTATCCAAGGCTACATACATAATAACAAAAGAAATCGACTTACAACTGAAAGAACTGAAAAAATTTCATTCATTTGTTATAACTGGAATCTTAAACATAAAGCTGAATGCGAGGACATTCAGTTTAATGAAGAAAATACCTTAGAAGCTTTCATTGAGCAAGTAAATGAACATAACAGTTTAGACGAAATAGAGCCTATCGAACCTATACAATTCATCGCTTGTAATAACTCTGAATCTGACAGTGATTGACTGTAGTTTTACATTTTACTTTCATCTCTTTCTTAATAAACTCAAAATCAAATTAAAAGTTTTTTATTCTGTAGGCTGCATAATAATATTGTCTATGTCCAGTATAGTGGACGTCTTGCGGCTGAGATGACGATGATGAAGTACAAAATCATAAACACCCAAAAATTTGGGTGTTTATGGGGTTTAAACCCAATAAACCCAAAACACCCGGTTTTTACCCACCAGACTTTAAACCCACCCAGGTGGATTGCCCATCTCTAATTCTATTTCATTTTCACTCTGTACTCAAATATTTTTCTTAAATAAAAAATTCACATTATTACTAAATCATCTAATTTTCTTCAATCTGGTTTAAAATATATTGTTTCAAAACCACAACAAAATATTAGTTTTTGTAGTTTCTTGAAAATTTTACAGACTTGTATTTAGCTGTCTTTGATTTTATAGGCCTCATATATTTTATTTTAGTTAAATCAATGTCCAGAGGAATCCAATATACAGATATCAGATCAATATTCATACTTACATTACACATCCCTAATTACAATACTCAATACACGCTTTGTAAATATTATGAATGGCATCTTTTATTTCAATATAAGTAACAATCAGTGTGTTCATGATCTCGTATATAATGATTATGAATATGACAATTTCATCATTCCAACAGAAAATAGGTACGTTTGTTCACACAAGACTCTTATTCAATGCACAATATAAGAGAAGTATTAATAAACATATTTTATCTTACTATAAACTACATATATCCCATGGTTTTGTCCACATGAATTACAATCAAACATATCTTTTACATGACAGTAAAGTAAAATTATATTTTACTTAACCTAGTCATTATGACTAGCCAATTATATGCCACATTTAAACATAGAAATGCATTAATAATTAACTTGATCCATACTTTCTTTGAGGAACATTATTTTAATTAACATTTGTTTTTTAATTTACATACATTTATTTTTACAATATTGTCAAATTAAAATAGTACATAATCAATATTTTTAGAAATTTAATCCCTCTCTGGATAAAATTGTACTAGAGTCTGTGCTAGCTCCTGAGCTAGTTCTGTGGTGCCAGCAGCCAGCACTCTACGGGATAGGACATCAAGAGGCCCTCCAGCAGGGTCTATGCAAACTCCACCTGCCTCTCTAACTATCACAGCACCAGCAGCAATGTCCCAAGCATGAATACCAAACTCGAAGTAAGCATCAGCCCCACCCAGCGCTACCATACACATGTTCAAAGCTGCAGAACCCAATGATCTCACTCCATGACCCTTGTTGACAATTAATTGGAAATTTTCTAACATCGCCTTATACCTTTCTTCATCTCTGCTCGTACCCGTCTCGAATGTAATCAAAGCTTTCTTCAGTTCTGTCATTTGAGATACATGAATTGGCTTGCCATTTAAATAAGCCCCTTGACCTTTCTTTGCTGTAAACAACTGTTGGAGAATAGGGTTGTACACGATGCCCGCAACACCAACTTTGTTGATCATTAACCCAACTGATATACAACTATGGGGGAATCCATGCACGAAATTCATTGTACCGTCCACTGGGTCGATCACCCACGTCGGATCATCAGTCAACTCGCACTTGCCACCATCAGAAACTGTCTCTTCACCAATAAACTTGTGATCGGGGAATTTGTTCGATAGACCATTGATAAGAGTTTCTTCGACCTTTTTATCAATTTCTGTGACTAAATCGATATCTGACGACTTCAGTTCGAATAGTTTACAACCCTCTCTGTACTCCGTTATGAGGTTTCCGGCGGTCTTCACTAAAGATAGGGCGGCTTCGAAGAATTCATCAATATTGTCAGACATTATGAAAGAAAAGTCGAGGAAAAAAGTCGAACACAAGTGGCAATTGCTTGATTTATTATTGAACACACAATTCACTATAATTTTAGAAGTTTATTATTTTATAGACCATCCAATCAGGTAGAATAGAAGCCTTACAATTGCAGTCTAACTTTACAAATCGATGAACAAACAAAACACAAGGTCAAAAAATATTCCATAGGTAAATTTGACAGCATTAACTTTGACAGTGACATTTAGACACACTTGACATTGACAATTACAAAATTTCTCATTTTGTACAATTTTGTACATCATACTAGTCTTTTTTAATGGATGATAATGGAATGGTTACCCCGCCAGCGTCAACGGTATACACTGACGGGGCACCAATGAGCGATGGTATGTGAGAATGAAGCAGATCAGTTGATTTATCGTGACTAACAATTAATCAATCACAATAGTTTCCAGGGGAAACCGCGTGCCGGTCTACCTAATAGGGTATATTGTAAGCAATGAAATTGTTATTTTACTACCAAACCCCTTCCCCGCATCATACTAGCCCATATTATATATATTAAATATGGCATTTTGAACACAGACTAGAATAAAATGGTACAACGATGCGTTTGTACTATTTTATCCAGGAGCAAGTAATCACTACGTTATTAATTTACCTTAAAATATTAAAACCTTAGCTTTGATGTAACCGTAGACTTAGTTAAAAATTAAGAATAATACTGCTCATGTTTATAGGCAACGGTTACCACTTTCTATCGGGTGGGCCGTCAGCTTGTTTACCATTCGGTTAACAAACATAAAAAAGAAAAAAATTGTCACTATGATTATAGTTGCCATGTGAGAACAGGTTAGAAGAATGAAATATTATCAGTCTTCCACTTGAGTACGATGCTGTCTGTATGCGTAATGCATATGCGTAAAATAGGAGAAAAAGGGGTTGTTAATAATGTCTAATAGCCCCATTGCTAGTAATATACCCTCTCAGATCGACCTCCACGTGGTTTCCCCTGGAAACCATCACAGTTATTCTTGTCGAATTCATCATGGTGGGCCAACTGACCTGCTTCATTCTCACCTATCATCTTCCACTGGTGCCCCGTCGGTGTACACCGATAGCACAGGCGGGGTTACCATTCCATCTTCACCCACTAAAAAAATACAATAAAGTTGTAAGTAGACGATAGCTGTATGTGGAAAATATTCAAGAACAAGGTAGCTGCTGTCATCCATCATCAGATCTATTCCAGACCTTTATTAAATTGTAGTGCTTTAAATTAAAATACTTATTAAAAGTATCATGGGCGAAACAGTATACTCTGTTATGTCCATGGTACTGCTTATGTCTATAGGCGACAGTTACCACTTCCCATCAGGTGGGCCCTCAGATTGTTTACCATTCTAAGTTATATAAAAAAAAAATGAAAAACAAACGGGATAGCCGCCCTTACGATTTCTTCAAGTTCTCCTTGATTTCTCTGGTCTGCCATCATAAAGCCTGATTTCCTTATAATGGGACCATCTTTGAAATAAGTTCTTTCCAAAAAAAAAAGAATCTTCAAAATCGGTACATAAACGGCAAAGTTAAACGGCAAACATAAAAAAACATACCGGTATCAGACCGGTATATGAACGGTCTAATTGAGAATCCTCCTTTTTTTAAGTCAGTTAAAAACCTCCTTTTTTGAAGTCGTTTAAAAATGAAAGATAAGAGCCAAAATAATAATTTTTGAAAATTTTCTCTGTCCATGTTTGTTTCGGTATCACGCAAAAACTAGAGTGCCAAATAAGCTGCAGTTTTCACAATTGTGATCCTAAAGCTCTAATCTAAAATCTGGTATTAAAATATTTTGTCTTGATGCTAGTATTATAGAAATCACTCTATGAACTTAACAATTTTATTGCAATACATTGCTGGGTATTTGTTTGAATAAGAGAGTACACGAGTTTGAACTAACAACTAGACTATACCATGTACATAATTAATTTCTATACCAGCGCGATCGCCAATATTACTGCTAAAAATGACAAATTCTCTTCATGAGAGAGCGTTAATTGTGGAAGACACCAAAAGCACCAAATTACATCATCGTTTACTAAATAGACTAGCACTAAATATACTAATTTTTACCTCACGATGGCCATGTAATACTACAAAATTTCTTACTAGAGAAATTTAATTCCTGCCAAACACAGTTCATTTCCAACAAGGAGGGGGGAGTTAAAAATAAAACAAATCATAAAAAATCATGAAAAATTGTTTAATTGGCATACCACTTGTTACAACCTATGGCCAATTTTACAATTATCAATATTGTTAATAATTAAATAAAATATATATGTAATATAAGTTTGTTTCTGAATTGTTTACTTACATTTAAATTTCTATTATTATTCGGACAGAAGCTGTATAATTAAAAAATGGATCATTACAATAAGGGATCAAGTAAATAAATCGTAAAAATGCAAGATACAAATGACAAAGTCTATAGCGGGGCGCCGCGGCTCGAGTGCGACACGAGGCGCGGCACGCCTCTTAACGCATAGTCCATAATAAAAAACTTAAGGCCACAATTTATTACTATGAATCTTATCTAATTCTAGAATAAGCAAGCCGTATTCTAGCGCCAACTTTCGCCAGACAATAATACCGTTTGATATGAAAACAAATTTACATTTGCCACCGTCTAGATGTATTTACATTGTAACATGTTAAAATATTATTAGGGTACAAAAATTGGTAAGGGAAATTAATAAAATGGTCTCGATTAAAACACCTATGGAGCCACGTCGACGTGTTCGCCGTTCACAATAAAGTGGAGCTACAAAAATTTGTACTGAGCAAACGGATAGACAGTCGTCGAGAATAAGCCTCGACGCCACAAAAATTACCTTCGAAAATGGATCGAATACGGCGACGAGCCTCCACAGCCAAAGCGTACATGACCTTACTTATTAACTATCATTAATTGTATGGCAACTAAGCGCTCAGTGAATACACACTGATATTATTTACATCATGTATAGTGCCGTGTCCGAGCATGTCCGAGCATGTCCGAGCATGCTCAGCGGGCGCGCGGCCAGCGGAGGGTACCAATGGGCTCCTGTGTATTGTCGCAACAGTCTTTCCTATTCAGTCGCGTTAAATGCATACAAAAAAAAAAAAGAAGAAGAAGAAATTTAGCTTTGCCACAATTATTAATACTTTTAAATTTCATTACATATCACCCAATGAGTAATTTGTCATTCTACCGATTACGACTATGTTTCGGTAAAACAGAACCCTCGGTTGTCAGGAATGTTTTGTTTTGTCATTAATACTGGCGTGTTCTTCCAATTGATACACAATAGAGATTCAACGACTGTTTAATGCTTCCAGGGACGTATGAGCACCCGCGGTCACTAATGTGCACTCGAAACTTCTACAATACGAACAGACAGACGCGTTATATAAATATAGATATAAAATACAAAAGCTTGCGTATACTACGTCTGATGTATCATACGTAGTAATCAAGTTATGACGGGAGATTGTGGGACAAACTGTTTTAAGGGGCTTACTGCACTGTCAAATTATCAAAAAATATACCTAATAAAAAGTCAACGATGTCACTAGGTCATTCCTAACTTAATGACTCTTCACTGACTTTAAAAACAGGGTCAATTCTAGACATTGTTCTATATTTGATAGTACAATAAAACCCTTTCAGAACTAGCGACAGATCCGCAGAAATCGCTCTGTGAAAGTATTGTTTACACCATTATTTCGTATACAATATTAATTTTGCCCTAAACACATGACATCTGCAAATGGGTCACCATGTAATATTGCACTGTCTGTCACACATAAAATACAAAATGGGTGTAAATCTTATAACCATAATGTTAATAAATAAGAATGCGTAACAACAGGTTTCACAGAATGTCTGTCAATATTATTCCAATAGAAATATGCGGGCCCACCGTTGGTGGACGAAAAGACGAGACACTTAGCTACATTTATTATATAATACTACAGATTCTAAGGAAGCGTTCACACTGAACGTACAGTCAGCCACCAGTTGGCAGTCCGGTTTCTTTACAGCCTTCGAATCACACCGAACCGACGGTCAATTATTGTTCTACTTTTATTGTAATGCAAAATGACCCTTGTCTTGTCTACTCTAAGATCTTAGAGTCCGCTCACTGTGAACCACTGTACGTTTGGTGTGAACGCACCCTACAACCAATGTCAGAAAAAAATCTCATTTAAAAATACATGATTTTTCATAAGCATGCAAAACGTAACTACAATAACAATGTTAAGTATCACCTCAATTTTGTCTCAAAAAAAATTAAGTTCCGTTTCTAAATGTACAATCGACTTCGTATAGACCAAAATGTAAAAATAATAGAAGAATCCATAAAGGAAACAAATCCGAGTTTACACATACTGTCTGTCTGTCTGTCTATATATATATATATATATATATATATATATATATATATATATATATATATATATATATATATGCATACTCTTAACATATTTGAACCTACCTAAGATTTTTTATACCTTTAATTCATAAATATATGGTACGGTTTCATATATGATTTAACCATTATTGCGTTGGAAATTTAATGTAAAATTTTTGTCTCTATGTAACATAGGAGATAGGTAAGTTATAAAAAAAAACTCTACAAGTGTTCTATACCAGTTATGTTGATTAACCGTCACGTAAATACGAAGCCGATTGTACTACTGTCAGCCTTTCCGTCCACACAGGGCGTCGCCGGCGGGGTCGCGGGGAGGCGGGGGTGTGGGGAGGGCGGGTGCGTTCACTCGACGCTGTTGGCGGTGTCGTTGACGTCGTCGAAGGACTCGTCGCCGGAGCCGGCGCCGGGCGCGAGGCTGGTGCGCTTCATGCGGGAGGACGACGACCCGCTCGACAGGCCGATCGCGCCGCCCTGCCGTCTGTGTCGGGGATAGAAAATAAAAAAAAAAAAATTATACGATACAACGAATAGATATTTAGATTGATCTTTATTTTCGATGGGTATTGGCTACCCGCACGCATGCTAAAGTAGTTAAGGGGCCGCCTGAAAATAAATTAAAAAAAATTCAAACGTTCAAAAAAAAATTATGGGTGGGTACCCATAAATACAAAAATAAGTTCATATTATGCAAGATTAAGTCCCTAGGCCCATCATCAATCATTTTCACTAGCTAATTTACGATATTTATTACATTTTACATTGAGCACTGCTTATGCTTTTTTTTTTTTAATACAATTTAGAATGGCAAACAAGCTGACGGCCCACCTGATGTAAAGTGTTATCTGTCGCCTATAGACATGAGCAGTACCATGGACATAACAGACTATACCGTTTCGCCCATGATACCCCCCATGCGTTGCCATTCCTGAGGACTCAGGTGTTATTCCTCTGTACCCAGTAAATACAGGCCATATCCCACCCTTCAAACCGAAACACAGCCATACAAACACAACTGCTTCACGGTAGAAACACGAATGGGACAGAGGTACCCAAGCAATCGACTTTTGTACAGTCTCCCTCTGGCTTATCCTAAAGTGCAGGATTTATCTATTTAGGGAGCAGGGTTTCACCTATGTTTAAAAATGTTTGTAACATTTATTTTGAAATTAAATTATTATTATTATTATTATTATTTATAAAAAAGAAATTGTTTAAAACTGACAACACAATATTAGTTGAAGCTAAAAAATCTAGTACCCAACATCACAGACAAGAAAACAGACGTTTCAAAGTTAGCATTCCTATTTCAGAGATTGTTTGAAATTATGTTAAAACACAAATTGTAGAGCGTACAAAATTCAACAATACAGATGTGACGACAATATTCAAATCATCATAGTCGTAGAATACCGACGGATCTGACAAATATAATATAATATAGATCCGTCAGTATTCTACGACTACGACGAAATAGTGATTAATACTGCAAACGAATTAATACAAAAAAAAAAGAGCAATATAGTCATAGTGGTAGAATACTGACGGATCTGACAAAGATTACATATAAAGATCCGTCAGTATTCTACGACTATGACGGTATGCCCACTGATGGTTACATGGATGTATGATTAAATCGGATATTAAACCAAACTAGAACCTGTTTACCATCATCTCAGCCTTTAGCTGTCCACTGCTGAACATAAGCCTCCTTCATAGAGGATTTTGCCAATAGTTGCCACACTTGGCAGTAGGATTGGCAACCGCAGTTAGGCTTTGGAGATGTTTTACGAGGGACTCTGCTGCCCATCCCTCGCCCTCCCTTAGTTGCCTCTTACGACACCCACGGTAAAGGAAAGCGTGGCCTATTCTATGCAGGGGCAACACGACGACAATGACAAATGAATCCATTTGCAAATACGTTGACGGCATGAGAAAGAATGAGACGACAGACATGCTGCCTCACTCTATCTCACGCATTGTTATTTGCCCGTAAATGTGAGATGAGAAGCGAAGACGCAGTCACAGGTATCAAACTGGTACGACTGAACAAGAATGGCACTGTAAGTAAGAATTATTTTGAAAAAAAAAACTAATAAAACTATATATACGAATAGATTTGTAAGTTTTTTTTTTCTATACCACAAAGGTGTCAAACAGCCCGTCTGATGGTAAACGGTCACTGTAGCCTATGGACGCCTGCAACACTAGTGGTGTCATGTGCACGTCGCCGATTATTTTAGATTCTTATTAATATTACTTGAATATTCATAACATTTGAATTTAACCTCTCGAGGATAAGGCGTAAAGTGAAAAAGGTTTTACCACTAAAAACCAGTCCTGACCAGTGCAGAATGCCTTGAAGGATATTATATGTCACTACATGTAAAAAATAGAAAAAAAATATACGTAATCAACGTTTTTTTTACTGTTTACTTAATGACTAGTAAATTAACTTCATTTGACTAGTACTAAAAGACAATACGGTCAAATTTAGTCACTCGCAGTTTGGGCACTGAACGCTTAACAATAGACTCCGAACAGTGATCTTTTTTATATACAATTTAGAATGGCAAACAAGCTGACGGTACACCTAATAAAAAGTGCTAACCGTCGCCTATAGACATGAGCAGTATCATGGACATAACAGAGTACACTGTTTCACCCATGATACCCCCCATGCGTTGCCATTCCTGAGAACTCAGGTGTTAATCTTCTGTACCCTGTAAATTCACTGCCATATCCCACCTTTCAAACCAAAACACAGCCATGCAAACACAACTGTTTCATGGTAGAAGCATGAATGGGACAGAAGTGCCCAAGCAAACGACTTTTGTGCAAAGCCTCCCTCTGATCTAATAATTCGCCTAAAGATGTCTCGTTTAGGGACGAACCACATGTCGCCTCATTGCTTTTCTTTTTATTTAAATTCCAATGTTATCGTTCATTGTTTAGATTACAAAACTTATATACAGTGCCACCCTTGCGTCCACCGGACCTGTACGCATAAAGCAAGGTTACCTCGCACGCTTCACGTATCTTCTAATCACTATCCTCCCAATCGGATAACGTTGGCCTACTGACAACATAACATATGGTCGTTACATTTCACATGATTATTCTCTTCGAATTATAGAATAAGATATTTCTTAAATTTCAAAAATACCACATAGTACTCGATACTGTTGATTATTTTACCTAATTAATGCAATTAAATTATAAATAATGTGAGGGGTTTTAACCAATAGATGCCGGGGAGAAAGGGATTGTTAGTAATGGAGACTAAAAATCCCATTGCTAGCAATATACCCAAACAGATCGACCTCCTCGCGGTTCTCCCTTGAAACTATCATGGTTAATTCCTGATGAATTCATCATGATGGGCTAATTGGCCTGTTTTCATTCTCATCTATCACCCTTCACTGGTGCTCCGCCAGCGTATACCGTTAGCGCAGGCGGGGTAACCATACCATTTTCACCCATCAAAAAAAAAACCACATATTTGAAAGCCACTCTCGTAATGTAAATATCTGAATCAGTATCAGTATATTGAGTTCAATAGTTTTATATTTGACTAGCTGTTCACCCGTTACTTCGTTCTAGGCATGGGTAATATCGATACCGATCCGATATCTATATATTGGGTATCGATAGATATTTATTTATTTATTTAAAAGGGTGATAGATGAGAATGAAAACAGGCCAGTTAGCCCATCATCATGAATTCATCAGGAATTAACCATGATAGTTTCCAGGGGGAACCGCGTGGAGGTCGACCTGGTTGGGTATATTGCTAGCAATGGGATTCTCAGTCTCCATTACTAACAATAATATATGTGGTTATCAACACTAATAAATATTTGCGATATCATAGGCATTACTCGAATATTACCGATCTTTGTAACTGGATTGTATATAACCGTACTTAGTAATTTCATTGCCATACCGCCTGCCAAAACCTTTCAAAAAAAAAAATAGGGGAAAAGAAATGAAAAGAAATTCCGAATTTTCGAACTTAATTCCGTTGTTTTGTTCATATCAATATATGGGGTCGAATACCCCATAAATGGAATCTAACATTTCATTCATCATAAATCCTACTATAAGTCCAAAGGAACGATACTTTGATATTTTTTTAACATGTATAAAACGGTATGTATCATGTAATTTTAATACCAAATTTGTGTTGATTTCTGCTCCAAAATTTCGGAAAACACTTCACAGTACGCCCTCAGTATGTATGCGAGACCTTTGGCAGCAAAATCAGTAAGTGGAAACGATATACTGATGTGTAATAACTTTCAATTAGCGTGTAACGATTTATCTGTTTCTTTGTCTGTGTGAGTTTATACTTGACATATTTAGCATATCAACGGTTGAGCATTAAAACGTTTCAACATTTATAAAACAGTTGTAGAAATAACTTAAAAATTATTTGTTCACTTTTCTATAAGATAGAAAAGTAGTTTTTACAATACATTAAAAACATTATTTTAAATATGAAACTTTTTTTTATACAACTTAAAATGGCAAACAAGCTGACGGCCCACCTGATGAAAAGTGATAAACGTCGCCTATAGACATGAGCAGTACCATGGACATAACAGAGTATACTGTTTCGCACATGATAACCCCTATACGTTGCCATTCCTGAGGACTCAGGTGTTATTCCTCTATACCCAGTAAATTCACGCCGTATCCCACCCTTCAAACCGAAACACAGCCATGCAAACACAACTGCTCTACGGTTGAAACACGAATGGGACAGAGGTTGGGTACCTCGACAATCGACTTTTATACAAAGTCTCCCACTTGGATTAAATTTCAAAATAATTTATGTCTCCTGTAAAATATTGCCCTTATTAGAACATATCGAAACACCATTGATATATTCGTATATTTGGGTATATCTTTTTGTTAAAATATATCTATAAAATTACTAACTAATAAAGTTCTTGTGTTTATTGAACATAGTGTATAACGTTTATGTAACATGGTGCGTGTGTGTGCGTGCGTGCGTGCGTGCGTGCGTGGTCGCGTGGTCGCGTGGTCGTGCGTGGTCACCTGAGCTTGTTGCGCAGGTTGTTGCACTCGCGCGTGAGCGTCTCGTGCGTCTCGAGCAGGTCCTCGAGCTCGCGCTGCGCCTTGCGCTTGCCGACCTTCTCGCGCTGCACCTCCTCCTCCGACTCGTCTAGCTGCCGCTTCAGCGCCTTCACGCGCACGTTCATCTGTACACCACCACATAAGCTAATTAATCAATCACTGAAAAACAATCATTGCAAACAGCAACTGAACTACGGAAGACTCATCGGGGGAGAAAGGGATGATTAGTAATGGGTTCTAACAGCCACATTGCTAACAATATACCCTATTAGATCAACCTCCATACCGTTCCCCTAGTGGTTAATCCTTATTGAATTCTTTACGATGGGCCAACTGACCTGCCTTCATCTTTACCTATTTATCATTCCTTACTGGTGCCCCGCCAGCGTATACCGATAGCGAAGGCGGGGTATACCATTGCATTTTCACCCATTAAAAAAAAAGCTAAACTCGTCACACTTTTGTGCACAAAATACCAATCTCATGATTGCTGAAATGGCCACACGACATATAGCAAATTAAATGATTACATTTTCTTTGCCACCAGAATGGAAACTGATGGTCTAAGCTAGGCTAATAACCCTCTCATACACAGTAGCACAAACAAGTTGGTGGTGAAATAGCCGGATAAAACAACTAATCTTAGTTAATCCGTCTCGTCAAATATGACAGTAGTAAACTTTTGTCTGTGTACACAAATTGTTCGCGCGTTCCCTTAATTTTCTATTCTATTTTATTCTTTATTGTACACAAAACATAATGTTAATCACAATTCATTTGAAACATAATGTACAAAGGCGAGCTTATCTCTAATAAGAGATTTCGTCCAGCAAAACCTTTCCATGTTAATTGTGTTATTTTAAAAATAAAAATAGCCAGTCATACGATCTGCATATATTGTATAAACACATAAGATATGTATACACAAAGAATAATACAAACTATTTATATATTTTATTTATTTTTAAATAATATTATTATAAATTTATTCTTATTAATAACGATTTGTATGTATAATAATCGGCACCTAGTGCTAAATTCGTTTCCCTTGATCCTATCTATATCAACCACCGTCATCGTCTTTACCTCCGAGTTACAACAACCAATGAGGACGCTGGAAGATTATAAGAAACTTCAGAGCTGTCTTCAATCTTAACCGTCAATGTGACCTCTGCAATCGACGTATAAAAAATATTAAAACATTGTTGTGCAGTAAATGTGGTTACCGCTTTCATAATTTGAAGTGCTGTGTTTGTAGACAATATTTTGTGTGTACATTGGTGATAAAGTGACGGAAGGAATCAATGCACAGGACATCATATGATAGCCCACGACAAGACGGTGAGTCCTTATATCCTTTCCTTATCCTTGTCACACCTACATTTGTCTCCTATAAAACCCACCACAAATCACTATATAACTGAATCGCCACAAGTGTTACCTTCTCTATCTGTTCCTTGTACTGGTCGGCGTGGCGACGCTCCTCGTCAAGTTGGAGAGCTAGCTCCTTCATCTTCTTGTCGAGTTTACGCGACGCCTTCTGTTGCGCGAGCCGCTCCCTCGACTCCGCCTCCAGCTGCTCCTCCAGGTTGGCAACCTTCAGCTCTAGAGATGTGATCACGCTCTGCAAGAAACCAAACAGTTTTAACGTCACAGTGTTCATTATAATGAAAATAAAGCTATAACGGTCATGTCTACAGACAATAGTGACTTTTTTCGACAGCTTGTTTGCCATTTCCAATCGCATATAAAAACGTTACTTCTAATATTTTTTTTTTTACAAAAAATAGTAAAGGCGAATATTTTTCTTTGGTGTTACTAGCAATAATTACTATATAATAAGCAATGCTAGTAACACCAGAGGTAATATTTGCGCATTGCCAATCTTAGAGAGATCTTGAGACAAAAGTACCCAATTTTTTCACTGCCATATTCCACCTTTAGAGCCAAAACAACTAAATCAGAATTTTTAGACATTACTTGGTGATAGAAACATATAATGAATAAAAAAATCTTCAAGCAAGCAAATTACGTAATTTTTTTTTCCAATTATTCTAAGTAATTGTTTTAATAAAGCGTCAAATGCTAGAATCTGAAGTCTATCTCTTGTCTATGCTAGGATGTTTGACCTTCGTCTTGGTGCGTGCGGCGGTCTCCAGCTCAGCGAGTTTGGCCTTCAGCTCCTTGTTTTGCCGTTCGAGCACCAGCTTGCTGCTCTCCAGCTTCTGCGTCGCCGACTTCTCTGTGCCGAGCTCCATCGTCACTTGGTCGATCTGCATCTGTTTACAATCATGTACACGACCATCAATATCTCTGATCTTACCAATTGTTCAGTGTATTATATGGATTAATCAAGGATGACCATTAATTTTTTTCTTTATACAACTTAGAATGGCAAACAAGCTAACAACCCACCTGATGGAAAGTGGTAACCGTCGCCTATAGACATGAGCAGTACCATGGACATAACAGAGTATACTGTTTCGCCCATGATACACCCCCCATGCGTTGCCATTCCTGAGGACTCAGGTGTTATTCCTCTTATATATATATATATATATATATATATATATATATATATATATATATATATATATATATATAAGTTGACATTGTTTATTGTTATATTTATTATTATTGTTATTCAATAATTGTTATATTCAATTGAATGTAATGCTTTTTGTATGATTATCCCTTATTTTAGACACAATGTACATTGTTTTTTTAATAAATGACTATTGACTCAATTTGTGATAATCAGGAACAGATAAAGAACAAATAGTATTATCTAAAAGTACTAAAAATAAACTTGCAGTATTCCCATAATGTAACCTTACCTGCGCCTTCCTGAGCCTGTCGTTTAGTATTTCATTGTTGGACTGCTCCTCGTCCAGGTCCTCTTCTAACGCCGCTATCCTCGCCTCTAAGCGCTTCTTCTCGTCCACGAGAAGTGTGCCCTGTCACGTGCATCAATAAGACATTAGGAACTTGTTACAAATATAGGGGAGTAACTGAATAAATATTGATAAATTTTTATTAGTAAAAAACTACCCTAGAAATTTATCTCTTCTTTGCATGATTTTTTTATTGGTGAAATAAACCAAGGTGATATAATTCGTGTTCAAAATTAAAAGAAAAATGTTTAAAAAAATATATTTGACAGCTATGTTTTTTTTTTCCTGCAATGTATATTAAAAAGGTATACTAGACACGATCAACTTAAAGTGAACATGTTCTTTTATATAATTTTTGGGCATTCAATGTTATGATGTAAATTTCCACCATTATGCAAAGAAGGGTTTTACTGTATTTTAATATTCATATGAATGTTCTATCCGTATGGGCGAGATTCATGAATTAGCAAAAAATGGAATAAGTATGATTTAGCACAGTGTTTTTCAACCTTTTTCATGACACGAACCCCTAATTGGAAAAAATATTTCGTGACCTCCTCGACTCTTTTTTTCATGTATTTTATAAAATTACTAGTTGACCCCGTAAACGTTGTTTTACCACTTATTACGAAATATAAAAATCGCAATTAAAATACAGGGATTGATCATAAAACGATGAAAATTTAAAGTTGTATGTATTTTTCAATGCTAAATCATAATAAAAATGGAAAAATTTGCCAAAAAAATAAAAAAAAAATTTTGGGGAGGGTCACCCTTATCATTGATAGGTATGAAAAATAGATGTTGGCCGATTCTCAGACCTACCCAATATGCACACAAAATTTCAAAAAAATCGGTAAAGTTTCGGAGGTGTTTGGTAACAAACACCGTGACACGAGAATTTTATATATAAAATAAAGATGTTGTAGGGACTGAATACTTTATTTTTCATTTACATAATTAGATTTCGGCTAAATACAGAATCAAGTATAGAAGTACCTATATTTGATACTTTGTTTCTTTTTGATTGAGGTAGTTTTTAGGAGGCCGGGGAGCCGTACCTTGGCGGAGGAGTTGTTGAGCTCGTCGAGCAGGTCGTCGCGCTCGACCTCGGCCTGGCGCCGCGCGCGCTCGGCCGCCGCCAGCTCCTCCGCGTGCTGCAGCGCCTCCGCCTCCAGCGCCTGCGCACGCAAACAATACCTGTACTTACACTACCTACAACTAACTATAATCAAAATCAGATGCAGGTAACTAGAGCGTGTATGCGGTAGTGGGAGTACGTGGTAATGTAAACACGGGCGTAATAGTAATTAATATTAATATTAATATTAATATTTTCTTTATTTACGGATTACTAAGATCCATTTTTGTTAGTAACAATTGACTTAAACTATGTTAGTAGAGAAAAAAATACAAAATTCATTTTATAGCCCCTATAATAATTTTGACCCACAATGAGAGGATCGGGCTATCGTATTTATTACATAATGCCCTCAGAATGCCGTTACTGCTGCCACGCAATCGGTATAAAAGAGATGCAATCCGTTTGCGTCTGATGGCATAGAAGTCATCTGTCCATGCCGCTGCAAACATTGTGGATGCACTACAAAAACGTGGCAGCCGTAACAACACCCTGAAAACATTATTGTATTGAACACGCAGAGCACTGTATGCCCGCTGTGTATAGTCAACCCACAGGCTGCTCGTGTAAAAAGATTGGCAATATGCCTTGAACAATATTATTTTGACTTCAGTCGAGCAACGAGCAAACCTGCGAGCCAACATATTACCCCTTACAGCCAGCGCCCTGCGTTCACGTTCAATGTCAGCGTTATCTTTCAAGTCATCGGTAATAATATGTCCTAGATATTTAAACTGAGTCACTCTATTGAGAGGAACACCGTTTAGAAGAATTGGCGGGATTTGTGGATTCTTACTACCTAGACCGAAATACATAAATTCACTTTTTTGTGTATTATATTTCAGACCATGTTTTTCAGCATACTTTTCACACACGCTTAGCAATTTACGTATAGCTCTGATTGATGGACTCAGCAGCACCATGTCGTCAGCGTAACTCAAGTTATTCACAGCAATCCCGTCTATGTAACAGCCCGCATGCATACTGCTGAGCTCAGCGATCAGGCTATTCATATATATATATTAAAAAGTGTAGGCGAGGATATACCACCCTGTCTCACCCCACACTCCAATCCATACTCTTCAGATATTTTATCCGCCCATTTAACAACGTTAATTTGATTATCATACCAATACTTAAAAATACCAATCAGTTCAGTAGGAATATTCAGCTTTTGAAGTTTGTTCCACAGGATCTCATAAGACACCAGGTCGAAGGCTTTTGACAAGTCCAAAAAGCACGCGAGGACTGGTGTCTTTCGTTCTAAATAATACTTGACAGTCTGCTTTACACTGTATATAGCACTCTCAGTAGAAAGTCCAGGCTGGAAACCAAACTGTGCCTCATGTATTTTAACATTTCCCCTGAGATGCGCATTAAGCAGACTGTCAAGTACTTTCGCCAAGATAGTGGCTAATGAAATGGGGCGGTAGTTACTTTTGTCACAAATATCACCAGTCCTACACTTGACAATTGGCACAACAACAGTTCTCATGAGATGTATGGCATTACTATGCAAGTACATGTGCAGTGTGTATGATAGAACAAATGCATGTGAGGTTGTATTACTGAGTGTATGCACGTGAGCGATACAGTAAGTACGTATGTGTGATAGTGGAATGCGTGTATACAATAATGCGAGTGCGTATACACAGTAGTGCGAGTGCATGTGTGTGATAATGCGACTGCGTGTGTACGAGTGCATGTTTACAGTAGTGTAACTACATTTATGCGGCAGTTTGAATGCATATATACAGTAGTGAAAATGATGTGTGCAGTAGGTGCATTTGCGAGAGCGTGTGTATGATAGTGTGAGTGCATGTGTGCGATAGTGCGAGTGCATGTGTGCGGTAGTGCGAGTGCATGTCTGCGGTACCGCTTGTGCGTGTGTGTGGTAGTGCGAGTGCGTGTCCGCAGGTCACCTTGAGACGGCGGTCGGCGTCGCGTGCGGCAGCGGCTGCATCGTCACGGGCGGCACGTGCCTCCTCGGCCTCGCGCGCCGCCTCCTTCAGTTGCTGCTGCAGCTTTTTCACTTGCTTCGTGCCATCCTCCTTCAGCTGCACCGTACCAGAACAGAGAGAACTTGGTTAATTTAATATGACAAAATAAAAAAAATAAATTAAAAACAAGAAATATGAATTATGCCAAATAACTAAACATGTTTGATTTCCATAATTTCAATTGAATAAAATTAAAAACCGGTACTAAAGTTATTGAAAAAATTTAAAGTTAAACTATACAGGTTGTTTGAACAGACTGGATTATATTTTTATGCTAATAGCGGGTAGCAATTTGCCATATTAACAGTTTCTATTTATCCTTTATTATAATGTAAATGCAGGCCTTTAAATTACTGAGATTAAAAAACCAATACAAACATCCTGTAAAAGCATCGTGTGTAAACTATAAAACAAGTTTTTGAACAATATTTGCAAAATTGTTCAAAATACACTAGATTTATTTCTGCCAATTTATTTTTATACCACTGAGGTGGCAAACAAGCATACGGCCCACCTGATGTAAAGTGGTTACCGTAGCCTATGAACGCCTGCAATACCAGAGGTATTACGCATGCATTGCCGTCCCTCAAGAAACCTCTACGCCTCCCTTTTGAAGAACCCCATGCTGTAATCTCTTGGGAAAACCTCGGCAGGGAGCTCATTCCATAACCCGAGGATGTTTGTGGGAGAAAAAATCTCTGAAACCGCTGAGTATGTGACCACTTAAAATTCTTCCAATTCTTCTAAACGTATCATTTAATAATTAATCGCTTAAGTGCTAGCAGTTTAGAAAATGAAGTTAATAATGGTTTGCACATGGAGCATATAGGAGAGGTGATGTTGAGGTGGTGTGGAGGCGCACCTTGTTGGCGAGGTGCAGCGCCTGCTCGGCGTCCTTGAGGTCTGCGTCGAGCTTCTTGCGCTGCGCGGCGGCGGCGGCGCGCTGCTTGCGCTCCTCCTCCAGCTCGGCCTCCAGGTCGCGCAGCTGCTTCACGATGCCGCGCCGCTTCTCCTCGCCCTGCTCCTCTTTGGCCTGCGCATGTACGTACATTATTTGCATCATTTACACCATACAAATTGCAATACAAACATACACGTAATACACAGTTAAAGGGGGGATAATGGATTGTTCAAAATGGGAATTAGTAGCCTCACTGTTAGCAATGCACCCTGTCAGGTCGACCTCCTCGCGGTTCCCCCTAAAAACTATCGTGTTCTATTCCAAGTGAGTTCATCACGATAGGCTAACTGACCTGCCTTTTCATTGTCACCTATCATCCCTCACTGGTACCCCGCCAGCGTATACCGATAGCGCAAGCGGGGTTACCATTTCATTATCATCCATTTTAAAAAAAAACCAGTAAAAAAGATAAAGGAATGAAAAACAAAAAAAGCAAATTATATAAAACAAGTACGTACATGAAGGTACAGTTGCAAGCGGTAACTCATTAAAATTATAAACTATTTTATTATACTGCGTAGATTCTACTACTCTCAGAAGCACAGTCTGCCGGGGTTCAGGGCCCCAGGGAGAGAAACCGGCGTACAGAATGCGGGCAGAATCTAAGAGCAACGCTTTCTGCATCTTTCCCGAGAGTGAGCCGCCTCGGAATCCCAACCGTCTGAGATGTTGTTCCAGACTGGTTGGGATAAGACCGTTCAGCGACAAAACGATTGGAATGATTTCGGTGGACGTCACCCCCCACATTTCGGTCACATCGTGAGCCAGGTCGAGATATTTTCTCTTTTTCTCAGTTTATTATTATTATTATTCATTCCACAATATCTTACTTACTTATTGCTAGTATAATAAATTTATGAAATTAGACAATATACAGGCATTGAAGATGTTTGAGAAAAATAAATATGAAAGGTCTTAATCAATGCAATTAAACGCAAAACAATATTTTTAAAAAAGTTTGTCTATCTATCTATTTGTATAATTTTCCGGCATCTATTGCACTAAATTGGATGCGATTTTCTCAATTGTATTTCCAAAAATCAGGTATATGTTTGATATACCATCTAAAAGTGGTTAAATTAATTGATTTTTCTATTTTAAACATCCATGCGTTTGAGGTAACGGGAAAAGAGCTAGTGAACAATATCAACTGGTACCTGTAGGTCGCGTTCGAACTGCGCTCGCATGGCCTGCATGTTGACTTCGAGGCGCAGCTTGGCGTCTTCAGTGAGCTGCAGGTCGTCCTCGATCTCCTCATTCTGCGCCTTCAGCTCGGCCAGCTGCGACTCGAGCGCACGCTTCGCCTTTTCAAGTTCGTGTACGTTCTTGTCGGCGGTGCCTTGCGTGTTCGCTAACTCGTCCAGTTCGGACTGGAGGAGGCGCTTGGTGCGCTCCAACTCCTCGATCTGGGGGCATATGTTGCAGATGTAATGTATGGGATCCAATTAGGGATAGGAATGACTTTCGGACATATTTATTTATTTATTTAACTCTTTATTGCACCATAAATAAAAATATACAATGACAAGTGAATAATTCAAGTGAAATACAGTAACATAAATACAGATTAAAATATACACACAAAGGTACAAAAGGCAGTGTTATCGCTAGGGCAATCTCTTACAGACAACCTTTGGTTAAAGGAGAACAGATAGAAAAGGGCAGGTGGCGCAAGAGTGAATTAATAATTTTTCGTGCATAAAATACAAAAACATGTAATGAACAAAAATATCAAATACATATTATATATACAATTAAACTATATACTGTGACGTCATATTGTGACGTCATCACTGTAAGAACAGCAGTGTAACTTTAATTTGCAATTTCTTTCATTTTTTTTTAGATAACTGATCCATTTTTGTTAGTAAGTGTTGTTTGTAAAGACTATGTTAATACTTAATCACTAATAATGATCTAAACCTCTCGGCAAGTATTCTCACTAGAGAACTATCTATTTTATTTACCAACATAATTGAAAAATTAACTAAAATTATAAGCATTTCTGAATCATTTTTTTTTTATAAAAGTCCTGTTTGGAATGGAATAATATTAAATAGTTGGCTGAATGACCGGTAAGGGTGATTGAGTGGTAGTAAAGGGGCGACAGTACCTTCTCGGCGGCCTCGTCGAGGTCCCGCGTGAGCGACAGCACCCTGGTCTCCTTGTCGCGGGCGTCCCTCTCGGCCGCGTCGCGCTCGGCAGCATACCGCTCGGCCACCGCACGTTCCTCCGACACCACCTGCGGAATACTCCTCAGTTCACGTCCGCACGTTCGGACGCGTTCGCATGCGAACTCACGCGGCCACGTGCGAAAGTATATGTACATATGCTTTCATGTACACTAAAAAAATATACACTATTTTTTTTTTACACTACTTAAAATGGAAAACAAGCTGACAACCCACCTGATTGCAAGTGATAACCGTCGCCTATAGACATAAGCAGTACCATGGACATAACAGAGTATACTGTTTCACCCGTGATACTAATGTATTATAAGGTATTATATAAAGGTTTACGTTATTAAATGAAAAAATCATTCAATTTATCAATTATCAGAAATTAAAACCCATTGTAGCTTCAATTATAAAGTAGTAAGATTTTTTTTTTACAAAACAAATTAATATTGAGCCCAAAAATACATAACTATGATCTTATGTATTTTTCAATTCGTTTCTTAAAGTTGTTATAAATTCAACATGAATTTGAAATAATTTGACAACCCAATTATAACTATACAAGAATTTTTTTTTTTATAAAAGCAAGTTAAATAGAAATTACCTTATCAAAGTTCTTCTGCTTCTTCTCCAACTCCATAACTTTGCCGCGTTGCGCTTCCAACTCGATGTTCGTATCCTCCAGTTCCGCCTGGATCTTCTTTTTACCTGTAATTAAAGAAATTGTGCCACAATTAAAAACCTGATCATAATATTTATTAATGACATATTATTTCATAAAATATGAGGCCGACGATGGAATGTAGTGTGAAATACGAATATCTATGCAAATTACCAGAGGGTGACTTTATACAAAAGTCGAAGGCTTGAGTACCTCTGTCCCATTCGTGTTTCTACCGTGAAGCAGTTGTGTTTGCATGGCTGTGTTTCGGTTTGAAGTGTGGGATATGGCGTAAATTTACAGAGTATAGAGGAATAACACCCGAGTCCTCAGGAATGGCAACGCATGGGGGGTATCATGGGCGACTTTTTTTGTAACTTATATACGTCACATCTGATTTCATATTGATATGTACTTTTTTTATGATACTTAGAACAAGAAATATGCTAACAGCTCACGTGACGGAAACCCTAAAAACATGGAATTACATAGAAGGAATGATAAAATAAAATCTGTAAATCATATGGTTGCCTCCTTTCTTCTTATGCAAATATGATTAGTAAAAAGGGGACGAAAGGTACACCATCAGTTGCTATTTTTCTCATTTCATAGCAGGCTAGTGTATAGAAATTTTTGATGTGTCAATCATTTGTCAATGACAAATTTTACATTACTAGATTATATATTCGACACAGTTTATGTACAAAGTATGCAAGCAGGTTGTATCTGAATTTGGTAGGGTTATACGGCCGTATAACATTTTCTATACACTAGCCTGCTACGAACTGACAATTTTATCATTCCTTCTATGTAATTCTTTGTTCTTAGCGGAAAATGGTAACTGTCGTCTACAAACATGAGCAGTACCATAGACAAACACATAATTGACATTATTTTACCACATGATTGGTTCTGGTACCGGCTCCCTGTCAGCACTGGTAGATGCAGTAGCCACAGACCTCCTTCTACACTACCATAGACAACATGAAATACGCTATGATAACCAATATACTTACTTTTATCTAGTTTGTCGTTGGCCTGCTGCAGCTCGTCGATCTGTCGGTACAGCGCCTCCACATCTTTGCTAAGCTTCTTGCGCTGTTCCTCGAGTGCGGCGGCCACCTCTGCTTCCTCTTCTGCCTTCTTCTTTGCATCGGCCACTTGTTGAGTCAGGGCCGTTACCTAGTATGCGATATATTATTTAGACATATTGTTTATAAATTTATCTTATATATAACTGAACAAAGTAATTGAAATTAAAATGAGTTTTAAAAATAATGCTTTAATCTCTGTCAATTATTACTACTACCATGTGAAGGTGTCGCCATCTGGGTTCAAGTTTCTAGGCCACACGTTTTACATAAAGACTTTTGACATAATCGTATTATCCTATGTCCTTTATGGACATAGTACAATACATATTTTGACCATATTTTCTTTCTTTTTTAAATGACAGCGTTTGTAGAAAAGAAATGTTCTAGATTCCAAATGTACATACATACATAACATAATGTATACACTCAGAAAGAAATCCCTTTTATGGGATAAGTCCGCTATTGTACATATTCTTTTCTTAAGAACTTTGTTACCTATAATTTAAGACTTTACTGTACAATAAAGTGTTACAAACAAACAAACATCCTTTAAAATATCCAATCACATCTGTGCGAACAAGAAAAATAATGCACGTAGAATACTGGATTGCCCAACCCAGTAAAATGAACTGTACCTGTTTCTCAAAGTTCCTCTTAGCCTCCTCCACTTCTTCGAGCTGGTCGCGCGCTTGCTCTAACTGCTGTTCCACGTTGCGGAGCTTCGTCTGCAGAGACAGCTTCTGTTTCGTCTCCTCTTCGAGGAGAGCCTGTGGGAAACACGAGTTTATTAGTACAGTTCCAATATAGGGCGAATAACAATAATTTTCACCAGAGGGAGACTTTGTACAAAAGTCGATTGCTTCGGTACCTCTGTCCCATTTGTGTTTCTACCGTGAAGCAGTTGTGTTTGCATGGCTGTGTTTCGGTTTGAAGGGTGGGATATGGCGTGAATTTACAGGGTACAGAGGAATAACACCCGAGTCCTCAGGAATGGCAACGCATGGGGGGTATCATGGGCGAAACAGTATACTCTGTTATGTCCACGGTACTGCTCATGTCTATAGACGACGGTTACCACTTTCCATTAGGTAGGCCATCAGCTTGTTTGCCTTTCTAAGTTGTATAAAAAAAAACCTGTGGCTTATGACCGTCTGATATAGAATAGGCCACCTCTTCCTTTCCCGTGGGTGTCATAAGAGGCGACTAAGGGAGGGCGAAGATAGGGCAGTAGCATTCCTCTTAAAACATCTCTAAAGCCTGACTGCAGTTGCCAAGCGCGGCAACTACTGCCAAAACCTGCCAAGGGAGAGGCTTATGTTCAGCTGTTATGACGAGGAGGTACCTGGGCCTCAGCGTGCTGTGCGCCGGCGGTGGCGGCCTGCTTGTGCGCGGCGGAGGCCTTCAGCTCGGCGCGCTCCAGCTGCTGCAGCGCCTGCTCCGCCTCCGCCTGCAGCCGCGTGCACTTCTCCTGCGCCTCCGCCCTGCGCAGTCGCCACATACAGTCTTATACACCAGCTGATCGCATAGCTCCAACAAAACTTCCCCAGTGACGGCCGGTGATCGGTACTCCCTCGAATTGAGGACCGGTAGACAGCAGAGGTTGCCAGTTCGGGGGCCGACCACATACTCATTTGTCGCAGTATCCGGCCGTAGTACCTTCCTAATGCTCCTCAAATATTGCGTCTAAACTGCGCCCACCATGTACCTTCTTGTATAGGCATTCCATCACCCGTATCCAATAACGAGGACGGGATGGCTTAAATACTGTACAGCAAACCATAAAAAAAACCCATACGTGACGCAATGTGCGACGACTCCCCACTAGATAGAGTGACAACCTCAAATCCTCAAAAAATACATTGAAGGGAGTCAGCGAATGCAGGTGGCTCAAGACCGTTCTTTATAGCAGTCTATGGGGGAGACCTATGTTCAACAGTGAACAGATAATGGCTGAGTTGACGATGATAAGGAACTCGCCGCAAAGGTTCGCGGCGAGCTTGACCAACTACGTTTAAGCTTATTGGAGTATGTAGTGCGAGGATGTGGCGTGAGGGTGGGGGAGGGCAGGGTACATGGTGCGGTCCACGTCCTGCAGCTTGGCAGCGAGCTCGATCAACTGCGCTTAAGCTTATTGGAGTGTAGCGGAAATATCGTGAAATATATTGTAATAATATATTATTCCGCTCCGCCTATGAACATTGCGGCAACACCAAAATGAAGTTGCATGAAGATAGCGGCCGACTGCGGCCGCAGCACTTTCGCAACGCGGCTAGCTTCGTGGTGACATCTTATGCGCTTATTACGTACGCACCGTGCTTACTCATTTTAAAAATCTTATTTGTATATTTTTACTTTAATCATCTTATAATATATCATTGTGTGTGCTTGCAAACAACTTAAATAAATCATCTTTTAACCCTTTTACTGGTAGTGGCAACATGTGTGCCGCCACCAACATTTTTATGATTTTTTTCCACTTTGTAGCACCAATACCATACTGGTGTTGGCAAGAACATTGCCACCATGTTTTTTTCTTCCACTAAATATGATTTTTTTTTTCTCTAATAAAAGTTATTAAAGTACCCACAATAAACCCAAAAAACTAGTTTATAATTTTCCGAGACACAAAATTGCTTCTACCAGTTAAAGGGTTAATAAGTAAACAGCGTTCATTCCGTGTACATCGCACAAATTCATTAGCTACTGTGTATCTACCCTCAGTAAATATCAGTGTGCCTAGGAGGGAGGGCCTAGGAGTCATGAGAGGGCCGTACAGCACAGCAGTATGTAGTATGTAGTAGGTAGTAGGTGGTAGGTAGTGTTCACCTGGTGCGGTCGACGTCCTGCAGCTTGGCGGCGAGGTCGGCCAGCTGCGCCTCGGCCTGCTTGCGGCGCCGCTCGCCGTCGGCGCGCGCCGCGCCCGCCGCCTTCAGCTCCGTCGCCAGGTCCGCGTTCTCCGCCTCCAGGCTCGCCTTCGCCTTCTCCAGCGCTGCGCACCGCAAACAAGGACCCTCAGTCACTGACAAACTGGCACATGCCTGCCAAGCTATTACTACTAGCTTCCCTTTGTCAATTATATATTCTGATAATCATATGAACGATTTATTTGCTGGTACATAATATTTAAATATTGTTCACACTTTTCACCAGAATCTGCTGGTCTACCATGAAACGAAAGTCCGAATTTTCGAGCTCAATTTCGTGTTTTTGTTCGTACCAAAATCGACCCAGTAAATGGAGCTTAACATTTCGTTCATCATAAATCCTATCCTAATTGTCCAGAGGAATGATATTTTAATATTTTTAATAATTTTAAACGGCATGTATTATGTAATTTTAACAACGGATTTCTGTTTCGTTCGCGCCCGAAATTTCGGAAAATATTTCATGGTAGGCCTTCTGGTTTACAAAATTTATTTAATTGTGCTACGAACACAAAACAAAACCGAATATCACTTTTTACTTATATCGTCATATTATATACATGTCAACATATTTACATATTAATAATAAATCATTTACCTATCACCCCTCAACTAACTTAAGAATTTAAATAAAATTGCAACGAAAAACAAACAAAGAACAAACGAAGAACAGTTCTGGCCCCATTTTTCGTCAATCAAAGTACAACATTACCAAACCTAACGGAGAATTAAATCCTCTATAGTCTTGTTTTGTCTATACAGGCCCTAAATTAACAGAGAAACATTGTTTTCTCGTATCAAGCTATCCCCGGCACTAACAGCAGAACGAGGCGTCCCGAACGCTGCCGCCGCCAAAGCGGCAGACGTGCTGCCAGTAGTCGCGCGCCGAGTGGAAGGCGCTACCCTCCTGCAAGAACCCAGCGCCCTCCACCTCGAAGTTATCGTCCTTCGACAGACCAAACTTCACGTTCTTCTGCCTACGCTCCGTCGCGTTACACATCATATGTATACCCGCTTAGTACATAATAAAATTAAAAAACAAATACACAAAAATTCAACGAAAATTCAACTAAAAATCGCAGACTATATATATATATTCTGAAAATTTGATGTTTGAATGACTTTCTATTTTCGAATTTGGAGTTAGCGGATTTTTTTTTTACTACGATACGTCAAAAGTTTTTATTCCTCTAATTCTGAAATTAAAATATACAATGCACAGATAAAAGATAAGTATCTATGGTTGCATTCTCTATCTATGATTTAATATAATGAGGCACATACAGTACGTTGACCTATATCTATGATGCGAATCATATAGACAAACACTGTTACTATACGACTTATGTTCCTATCTATCGTTGTATACAAAATATATCTACATCTACTGAATCTTATAATTTATCATAGATCTGTACAAAACTCTTAACAGTATTGAACCTTACTGGCCAGCTTCAGCATTCAAAATCTCTTTATACTCATTCCACAGCCAGAGCGTTTACAAGAGGAAACTATTCTAAAACCGCACTGTAAACGACTATTTAAATAGATAGATAGATAGATAATTTATTGACATCACTTACAGCACACAAATTACAATACAAACATACACATAATATAGACATATAAGTAAAAAAAAAAAATAAAAGAATGAAAAAAAAAAGCATAATATATAAAATAACAATTTTCTTCTTTCATGCGTGTAGGTGCCATAGTAACACAAAATGGTCACAACTCAGTTTAGTTTATTGCTTTGCCCTCAAAAGAGCAAAACACTGATATTCTGTTGCGGCCAAGAGTCAGTCGCGAAATTCCTTATTAAAAATAATAATAAAAAGTAATATAAATAAAATGCATTGTGTGTGTCCATTACATTATTTAGATTCTAACGTGTAATATTAGAACAAAACTATTTTTTTTATACCACTGAGGTGGCAAACATGCACACGGCCCACCTGATGGTAAGCGGAACGAAACTATGACTAGTACTGACCGGCTTTGGCCTTCTTGATCTGCTCGTGCTGCTCGTTGAGCTGCTGCAGCTCCTGCGAGTGCTTGTGCCGCTGGTCGGCGAGCGTGGCCTCGTGGGCGGCCGCCTCCTCCTCTAAGCTGCGCTTCAGCACCGCCACCTCTTGTTCCCGCTTCGATCTTAGCTCTTGCTGAGCTGTTGTATGGATTTTTTTTTTATATATTATTAATTTGAAATGTATTTTGTATGTAACCTATAACGTGTGGGGGGGAAAGGGGTTGTTATCAATGGAGTTTGACAGCTCCATTGTTAGCAATATGCCCTATCAGGTCGACCTCTACGTGGTTCCCCTTGGAAACCATCGTGAACAATTCTCGTTGAATTCTTCACGATGGGCTAACTGACCTACTTCATCCTCACTTATCATCTTTCACTGGTGCCCCGCCGGTGTATACCGATAGCGCGGGTACCATTCCATTATCACCCATAAAAAAAAACCTATATCGTGTGTGTCGAGTAAGGGGGGTGATTGTTAGTGATGCGTACTAACCAGTCCTATTACTAGTAATATGTCTTGTCAGGTCGACCCTCACGTTGTCCCCCCTGGAAACCATTGTGCTGAATCCCAGATGTATTATCATCACGATAGGCTAACTGACCTGCTTTTTCATTCTCGCCTATCATCCTTCGCTAGTGGTCTGCTAGCATATACCGAGGTTACCATTCCATTGTCATCCATGAAAAAGAATCCTGTGACGTGTGAATCTGAGTCTAAGTGATATGTATAACTAATGTAATTATATTTATTAGTTACTTTTTGTACGTACGTGTAAATTATGAAAACTAAATAATAAAACAAACATTTCGAGTTAAATTTTTAAGAATACATATGCAAAAATTGCATTCACTTTGTTGCAGTGATTTTTTCGTGATGCTAAAATAAATATAAAGATAGAGAGATAAAAAATATTGTTTTTATTTCTATTAGTAAAAGTTAATAAAAAATTCATATGAAAGCTCTTAATTACGAGCTTTCATATGATTTTTTTTTAATATCTTTGTATGTACAGTGTATGTAGTGTGCGCAGTATGCTGTTATACCCTAGCACTGGTGGGCTTAATGCTGCGTTGGCACTCTACCCACTTGAGACAGCATTTCTGCTCCTCTTGACGATCAATAGCCATTTTCAAGTCAGTCTCTCTTGATCTTTCAAAGTGAACGGTTGTCTAAGGACATACTTGTCCCAAGGTCTTTATTTAATTAAAACTTCTTATTTTATTTTTTATACTACTTAGAATGGCAAACAGTCTGACGGTCCACCTGATGGAAAGTGGTAATCGTCGCGTATAGACATGAGCAGTACTATGGACATAACAGAGTATACTGTTTCGCCCATGATAGCCCCCATGCGTTGCCATTCCTGAGGACTCAGGTGTTATTCCTCTATACCCTGTAAATTCACGCCATATGAAGTAAACATAATAAAATTGCCGCGAATGTTCGAACAAAGAGTTCCTTTTCTAAAAGTTTGGTGGAAGAGATCCGCATAATTTTCATTATTACCAATAGGTATAATTAGATAAATTAACCTTATATAAAATCAACATTCTATATGTGGTAGTAAAAATTTAGCTGAACTAATATTATACTATGTAATGAGGGTTGAACGCTGTTGTCTGAGATACAGGTTCTATAACCTAGTTCAGACACAGATGTTTAAGCTGATCCAAATGTACAAACGGATTCGTGCTTACCTTTACTGTAATTTCCAGTGGTGAGTTTGTTACAATCGTGGTTAGGGGGCATCCATTAATTACGTGAGCTCTTTTTCGATCAGTTTAGACTCCTCCCCCCCCTTAGGTAAGATTTAGTGAGATTTGCCTTGACCCCCCCTCCCCTTACGTGAGATTGACGCAAAAAATATTTTAATCTTAATTTATATTTATTATTCGGGAAAATAATAAATCGTTCAGGTATACTATAATTAATTTATTTAAATTAAATAAAATTCAAAGTAAAAACATAAAAAACAACACTTTAAAAATTTTTACTAAATCCACGGAGACTCGTGTACTTTTTCAATCGAAATAATTGGACACATATCATCTGGGATTTCTAGTAGTGCAGGAAGACAATCACTGGAAACGTCCACGTTTATCTTTAATATTTTAGTAATATCTTTCATATTTTATATTTTTTGAAGTTGACGTGAGATTTTTAATTATCCCCCTCCCCCTCTCTCGGTTTAAATGAGATTTGGTGAGAATTCATTAGACCCCTCCCCCCTCCCCCCCGCTATTGTGAGCTCACGTAATGAATGTATGCCCCCTTACGCAATAAAGTGATTGTTATTACAATGCGAGCCGCGTACCGGCGGTGGTGTCGAGCGAGTCGAGCAGCTCGGACTTGAGCGCCTCGAGCTCCTCGTTGAGGTCGCGGCGCAGCTTCTCGGCCTTGGTGCGCGCGGCGCGCTCGGCGTCCAGGTCGTCGTGCGCGTCCGCCAGCGCCGACTGCGCCTCGCGCGCCGCCTTGCCCGCCGCCGCGCGCAGCGCCGCCTCCTCGTCCGCGCGCGCCGCCGCCGCCGCCAGCTCCTCCTCGCGCTTGCCTGCCGCCCGCCGCAACCACACCGCGTTAGCACGCAAACAAACCTTCAGCCCCACCTACTCGGGTACTCAGCCCACACACCAGTATATATAACACACTCGCAAGCGCCACTAAATATTTAATTCTAAATTTTTCTTAAACATCCATTGGACATTGAATGGAACTTAAAAAAATATCATCACTTATCCATATTGTTACATTATGATTAAAACGTTATAAACAAAGAGATACAAAAACAGACACTATATATATATAATATATATCTAATAAATAAAATTCTCGTGTCACGGTGTTTGTTACCAAACTCCTCCGGAACGACTTTCTCGATTTTTATAAAACTTTGTGTGCATATCTGGTAGGTCTGAGAATCGGCCAACATCTATTTTTTATACCCCTCAATGATGAGTAACCCACCCATATTTTTTATTTTTTTGAATTTTTTTTTATTTTTATTTTATTATGATTTACCAGAAAAAAATTATTCGAAAAAAGTAAGCACAACTTAAAGAAAAACTTAAAATCAAATCACATAGTCAGTATGGCAGCAATAGACTTTAGCCTCCTCTTTAAAAAAAAAAAAAAAAGATACGTGCCCAACCATAGAATTTACAGCCCATCTGACAATAAACAGTCACTACAGCCTATGGACGTATACAAACCTAGGGATCTCGATAGCATGTTGTCTACCCTAAAAACCTTTTTTTTATACAACTTAGTATGGCGTCCATCTGATAGAAAGTGGTAACCGTCGCCTATAGACAGGAGCAGTACCATGGATATAACAGAGTATACTATTTCGCCCATGATACCCCCCAAGCGTTGCGATTCCTGAGGACTCAGTTGTTATTCCTCTGTACCCTGTAAATTCACACCATATCCCACCCTTCAAACCGAAACACAGCCATGCAAACACAACTGCTTCACGGTTGAAACACGAATGGGACAGAGGTACCCAAGCAAACGACTTTTGTACAAAGTCTTCCTCTAGTACATTTTTCGAAGAACTCCATACTACAGTATCTCAGAAAGACGAGGTAAAGCTACAAACGTAGTTGATTCCTCAAACTCACTGAGCACGATCTGCAACTCCTCCAGCTGGGCCTTCCTCTCGCCGAGCTGTTCCTTCACGTCCTGCAACTCTGTCTCCAGCTTCCTCTTCGCCCTGTCCACCTCTTGTCGCAGTTGGTGGTCCTGGCGAGATTAATGTAATTTATTTAGACAATACTCATTAGCAATAATTCTTGAAAAATAAATAACTATTTTAAGATAAAATCGTCTTTTTTATTATTATAAATGTGAGTTTACTATATAATGCCTTAACGGCATAACCAATCATTATGGAATTTGATGTACACGTACTATATGAAATGGACAATGGATATAGGCTACTTTTTATCACGATCACGCGGACGAAGCCGAAGATAAAAGCTAGTATATATAAAGGCAACTAAGGGAGGGCTGGGGGGAAAGGAGTGTTAGGATATAGGATATAGGAAACTATCATGGTTAATTCCTGATGAATTCATCATGATGGGCTAACTGGCCTGTTTTCATTCTCATCTATCACCCTTCACTGGTGCTCCACCAGCGTATCCCGTTAACACAGACGGGTTTACCATACCATTTTCACCCATCAAAAAAAAATCACCCAATTACTAGCAAATATACCCAGTTAGGTCGAAAACCATTGTGGTTAATTCTTATTTAATTCGACACAATGTGCCAACTGACCTGATTTCATCCTCACCTATCACCCCTCACCAGTTCTCCGCCAGCATATACCTATAGCGCGGTCAGGGTTACCATTCCATTATCATCCATTAAAAAAGCCACACAAGCTCGGCCTATATTAAAATGGCAGTATGATGATCATTCACCTTGAGCAGTTTCTCTTCCAGCTCGGCGATGGCGGACTCCTGTTTCGCCTTCAGCTTGCTCAAGTGCTTCGCTTTCTCCTCCTCTTCAGCCAGTGCTTGTGATAGATCGTTTGCTCGCTCTTCCAAGATCTGTAGAAAATTAAGTTTTAACAATTAGTCTTACTGTACTGACATAGAATGGGCCATCCCTTCCTTTCCCGTGGGTGTCGTAAGACGCAACTAAAGAAATTTAATAGACGAGGAACGCTCCCCTTAATACGTGATCGAAAGCCAAACTGCAGTTGCCATTTTTTTTATGCAACTTAGAATGGCAAACAAGCTGACGGTCCACCTGATGGAAAGTGGTAACCGTCGCCTATAGACATGAGCAGTACCATGGACATAACAGAGTATACTGTTTCGCCCTTGATACCTCCCATGCGTTGCCATTCCTGAGGACTCAGGTGTTATTCCTCTGTACCCAGTAAATTCACGCCATATCCCACCCTTCAAACTGACACACAGCCATGCAAACACGACTTTACGGTTGAAACACGAATGGCACAGAGGTGCCCAATTAAACGACTTTTGTACAAAGTCTCCCTCTGGTAATTTCGACTGCCAAGCGTGGCAATACTGGCAAACTGACTGTTAACGGTTGATGCAAAAACAAGAGAATGAATGAATGTGAAATTTAAAAATGTCTAATTGTCTTCAAAATTTGTAAATTTATTTAATATTTTATGTTATTTAAATGTTGAAGGGCATGTAAAAAATTAAATATATCGTGTGACAGTGATGGATGATTGATGTTTAGTAAAGGGAGAAGTACATACTTTATATTATTCTATCTATAATTTCGTGTATAATATAGTATATGTCATATATGTGTAAGTATATTTGTTATTTATATATATTTATTCATTTATATATGTAATTTTAGTATGTATGTATATCAACAATTACTAGTACAACATTCGAGTATTCTGACACTTCCCTATAGTTGACAGGGAGAGAATGCTTTTAGCATTAAATCCACCATGTACACATGTTTGTACTAATGAATAAATAAATAAAAAAAAGTGAGCGTGCGAGCAAGATATAAATAGACGTAATCATAAGGTGTAAATGAGAAAGCGCAATAAAAGGGATTCTAAAAAAATACTGTCTATTCTTACAAACTAAAATTACGACGTCCAATTAATGTGAAAAAAAAAAGCATGTAATCCATAAGTAAATCTAATCAAAACCACAGTGTACCTTCTTCTCCTTGACGAGTTTCTGGTTGGTGTCGTCGCTGAGCGCGAGGTCCTCCTCCAACTTCTTGAGCTTGGAGTCGCACTGCACACGCTCCAGCTGCAGCTTCTGTCGCGCTGCCTCCTCCTCCTCTAGTTGCTCCTCCAAATCCTGCATCACACCATTTTGGACACATTGAACAAATACAATATGTAGTTTTTATATATTATTATATGCATATTTTACACATGTCTCTGAAACTCTTAAGAGTCTTAGGAACGGATTTTTTTATGTAACTTAGAATGATAAACAAGTTGACGGTCCACCTGATGGAAAGTGGTAAGCGTCGCCTACAGACATGAGCAGTACCATGGATATAACAGAATATACTGTTTCACCCTCATGGGTGAAACACATAAAGGGTATCATTACCCTCCATGCGTTGCCATTCCTGAGGACTCAGGTGTTATTATTCTGTACCCTGAAACTTCACTGCCATATCCCACCCTTCAAACCGAAACACAGCCATGCAAACACAATTGCTTCACTGTAGAAACACGAATGGGACAGAGGTGTCCAAGCAAACGACTTTTGTACAAAGTCTCCCTCTGATATAGGTGTACGTATGAAACTAGTTATTAAAGTGCATGAAGCAAAAGGTGTATTGTAAGGTTGAACATCTTTGATGTTCACTCTGCCTACCTCACAAGAAACTTGAAGATATATATTTAATACATTTCATAAACACAATTGTAACTAAGTTTTGAATAAACCAAAAATAATTATGAAATATATCTAACATACATAATTTTATTAACAATAAACAAATATGTATTTTTTTTTAATTTATGGACCTATTGTAGACTTCTGTGGCAGAGTGATAAATACATTGCATAAATAACATTCGATTATCAACCGAGCAATTCAGACAATAAACTTCATATTTGGTTACTACAGGAGTATGCCGACCTGTATGTTGAGCTGCAACCGCTTCTTGTCCTGCTGCAGCGCGTTGCAGCGCTCCTCCTCCTCCTCGATGCGGCCCTCCAGGTCGTGCAGCAGCTCCTCCAGCTCCTGCTTGCGGGCCGCGGCGCGCGCCCGGCTCTCCTCCGCCTCCGCACACAGCTCCAACTCGGCCTGCAACACAATTTACATACATTTATTACTACATTTTTTTACAACTTAACAAACAAGTTTGGCTGATGACATAACAAAATCGGGGGTTCCAATCCCGATTCGATATATCGAAAGATCGATCTTTTAGATCTCGATCTTCTATACTTATATCGATGTATCGATATTTTAAGGTAAATCAATCCAAAATTTGACACAGAAATAAACAAGATAGAAAATCAATATTGATGACCGCCCATAGAAGACATTACATTGTTAATTTTTGATTAAAAAAATGATTTGAAAATTTCAAAATCTAGAACACCGCAGCTAAATTGCACGACTCGCTTCTATAGGATATATTTTGAAGAGTGTACTCAAGAACTGCATGACCTGATTCCTCTTTCACACTTTCAGCATCGAACTACCCAACGGGGCGAGAGGCTCCATCCTTCATCCAGCCGAGATTTTCCCAAGAGACTACAGCATGGGGTTCTTCAAAAGGGGGTAATGAGGTTTCTTCAGGGTCGGCAACGCACGCGTAATGCATCTAGTATTGAAGGTGTTCATAGGCTACGGTAACCACTTACCATCAGGTGGACCGTATGCTTGTTTGCCACCTCAGTGGTATAAAAAAAAATCCTTATGTCGTAGACATACCATTGACACACACGAAGCGCTTTGCGTCTTCCTTCATAATGCATACAGATAAGAAGTGGAACTATCTCCCTGCTTATGTTTTTCCATCAAAATATAATCTATGCCAATTTAAGGCATATGTGAATAAGCTATTCGTGGGCCTGCGAGGTCCATCTTAGACCCCTTACCATCAGGTGAGATCGTAACCAATCGCAGAACACTTCATTAGTAAAAAAAAAAAATGCAATATGTTACACCTTTGTATAGAGTAATCACTTTACACACCTGTAACTGCTCGGCCAGCTGTGTCTTCTCTGCGTTGGCTTGTTGGTACTTCTGCTCGTACTCCTGGCACCGCTTCATCTGCGTGTCCAACTTGTCGCGGATCTGACGCAGCTCGTCTTCCTTCTGAGTCAACTTCTCCTCTTGCTTCGTCACCTCCAGCAGTGGTTTCACCTAGAACATAATAATTTCTTATTATTAACACATTTTACGTTATTTATGTATGGAGTTGATATTGCTTTATAAGTTTAATAATTTTAAATTAATTAAAAATGTAAAATTATGTTTAAAGATCGCGTCTCACAAAAAAAATCTACTTAAATTATGACAAAACCAGTTATTTTGATCTATAAACTAAACAACTGTCTCGATTTTGATAAAATTTCTGTAGAACCAATTTGTAAGTATGCCCTTTCAAATAAAAAATAATTATCCAAATCGGTTCAGAACTGACAGAGTTATGAGGTAACAAACACAAAAAAAATTACAATCGAGTTGAGAACCTTCTTATATCTTTTGAAAGTCAGTTAAAAATCAAAGTTCTATTTCTCTAATTAGAAATTATGTATTTTTTATTTACAGTACATATTCGCGACTTCGCGACCCTAGTTCTTTCTCTGTCGTTTAACACTTAAATCTCTGAAGTTTCAAATTTGATACCGGGGTTATAAATCGCATTGGGCGCCTACAATCGATTTTATTTTAATATTTGGCTGTTTACATGTTAACATTTTTTTTTTTCAAAATAAATATATAAAAATATCGTTTTGATTTTTTTTTTTACTATTTTTCCCCATTAGTAAACAGAGTAAAGGGTACACTTATATATTTTTCAATTTGATTTAAAAATTCAGGCTTTTAACTATCGTTTTGAAATATACTTTTTTGGAATTATTTGGAATACTTTTGGAATAATTTTCAATTATTCCAAATCCTATTCTTATAAGATAGGTTTAATTTCATTGAAATTAGGATCCAAATATTTAGTTTTGAATACCTGTAGACATATTATTTTCGATGGCCAATTCGTAATACAACATAAATTTTACATAAACCAATTCGTGTCAGCGGAATCTTTAACAATTGATTATAATATCCAGTATATACAGAGTGATGACAATTCAAATATAACAACAGTCTATTCAACACGTGGATACGAACTATTTACATAACATATTAATAGCCAGGGAACTCGTGTTTTCAAAACACGTCCATTATCAAGCTATCTACGAATACACACGTGTGATTTTCTAATAACCTACTAGAGAGAATGGTATGTAAGACGTCGAGAACGTCGGATAGACTTCTTCCATGTTCCTTTGAGAAGAATAGAGCTAGCAAAACATGCTCCTCTTCCACTGGCTTTGATTCTGCTCAAGTGTCTTGAGCCAGTATCCGAACTTTGATATATTGATTTATAAACTTGTCGAGTTTCGCTGAATGGCAATAAATTATTTAGAAAGCGTCCACTATTTAAATTTTATCACGTTTCATATATTGTGATCGATAAGGGAGCAAATTGGGAAACTGTCAAGTTCTCTTAGTTGGTCAGTATAAATAAATAAATAATAATACACATACCTTGATATACAGTCTCCACCACTGCCAATTCCTCAGCTTTAAGTACGCAGCGCAATTTCTTTGGATGATTCTAATAGCGTTCAACTGTTGCAGTCTCTTCTGGTAGTTTCTCCTTGCGAGGAAGCCCCGGCAGAATGCCTGGAAGTTCACGATCAGGTCTGTAATCTTGTAGTCTCGCTCTTCTTCAAGATGCGCAAGCACTCCAGCTCGGAAGAAGATCTTCGACTGTCCCACGCGATACAGGTTGTGATCCAGTTCCAAAGCCTCGATCATCTGTTCGCAAGCTTTCTTTCCATCCATAAAACCTTTGGGTATAATGTTGGGAGTCAGCAACTCGTATCGTTGTCTGAACTCTTGGAATGGAATACGGTTGGGGAAACCTTGCCTGCATATCCTGATACCCTCGAGTACACCATTGCATCTCAGCTGATCCAAAACCAGAGGTGCTTCGATTTTGCCTGCCTTCTTTTCGTGGTTAGGTATAATACACCTCACGAAGTTGGGGTTCGTATTTCTGAGGGTAGCCATCAGCTTTGTCAACTGTTCTTTGTATAACTGTGACACTGTTCTGAACATGCCCTTTCTCGTTCGCGCACCGAACTGTGTGTCGGTCATCGCTTGTTGCGCCATGCCCACGATCTCGGCATCCTTCCAGATGTGGCACACGAAGGGATCCTGCGAGTTTTGCAAGAGCGACACAACATTTTCGTTAAGAGGGTCCATGTTCTTCATAAGCCAGAGGGCGGCGGAGTAGTCCACTTTGCCGGCGTAGTGGATAACGGCGAAATCGGCAACACCACGGAAGTCCGTCTTCATAAATTTCGGATGGACAGAGTGAGCCGATACCAACTTCTCGACAAAAGATTTGTCCGTGGCTTTGGGGAACCAACACTCCTCGTCCAGCAGGGCCATGATGCCCATAGGCTTCTCGATGAGGTCGATGGTCGGTTGAAGATCCAAACCGAAATCGATAAATTTCCACTCGATGCCTTCACGTTGGTATTCTTCCTGTTCCAGGATGAACATGGTGTGGTTGAAGAGCTGCTGGAGCTTCTCGTTCGTGTAGTTGATGCAGAGCTGCTCGAACGAGTTGAGCTCAAAGATTTCGAAACCGGCCATATCGAGGATGCCGATGAATGAAGCCCCTTGCCTCTTCGTTCTGTCTAAGGATCTATTGATCCTGTTGACTAGCCATCTGAACAGGCGCTCGTAGCACGCCTTGCCAATAGCCTCAACTGAGAATTCCACTTGTTCTTTTGTCTGTGCTTTCGTTACAAAATCGCGGCCCACTTTGATTCTTGGTTTGAGGAAAGCTTTCGTCATTTCAGTCACCGAAAGACCTGAAAAGAATAGGAACCGTGAATGTCGTATTAAATTTTAGAGTACTCATACAAAATATGTATAAATTAACACTTACCTAATAAATGTGCGATTTTTTGAGCAACAGTGTTGTCTGGTAAAGTAGCCTGATCCGAGTTTCTTTCCTGTTTGAACTGCATAGATCCAAACAGAAGTACGGCTGAGACTATTCTGAATATGGAGTTGAAGTCCTCCATATTCATGCCCATAATATTCATCGATTTGATAGTCGCTTGGAACTCTGCAGCGTCATCGATACCTGGTACAGGCAACGCTGCATTTGACAAGAATGGATAACTCTTGGGATCTTCTAGAATGTACTCCGCCTTCTGTTGAGGTGTAGCGCCGACTAGAAGCTGATAGAAGATGTGGAATGTCCTTTCATCTTTCGCTTGTCTTATTGCTCTTGACTTTTCTAATAGGTACGTTTCGATATTCGCGCCCGCAATGAAGCCCGACGCGTCGAAGTTTATTCTAATAAATTTACCCTGAAATAATATTCATTATTATTATCATGTATTCTTTATTCATTTTCATCATTAACATCATCATCACATACGCCTCCTCCTTGGGGGGTTTTGTTAGTAGTTGCCATGCTTGGCAGGCGGATTGGCAACTGCATTTAGGCTTTAGAGATGTTTTATGAGAGATGCTACTGCCCATCCCTCGCCCTTCCTTAGTTCTATCCTATTCTTTATTGCATAATAAAAATTTGTACAAGAAGCCAACTTTATACCGTATGGAATTTTCTACCAGCTAATCATTAGGTAAAATGGAAGATAATGGAATGGTAACCTCGCCTGCGTTAACGCTGGCGGGGCACCGGTGAGAGATGATAGGTAAGAATGAAATGGCTAGTCAGTTGGTCCATCGTGACGAATAATACATCGAATTCGATCGACCTGACAGGCTATATTGTTAGGAATAGGACTGATAGTACGCAGTATTAACCCCCCCCCCCCCCTCCATTGTTTTTCATTTAAATTATACATTAAATTTTACATTTATTTTTTTACTTTTTATACTACTTAAAATGGCAAACAAGCTGACGGCCCACCTGATGGAAAGTGGTAACCGTCGCCTATAGATATGAGCAGTACCATGGACATAACAGACTGTTTCGCCCATGATACCCCCCATGCGTTGTCATTCCTGAAGACTCAGGTGTTATTCCTCCGTACCCAGTAAATTCACGCCATATCCCACCATTCAAACCGAAACACAGCCATGCAAACACAACTGCTTCACGGTAGAAACACGAATGGGACAGAGGTAGCCAAGCAATCGACTTTTGTACAAAGTCTCCCTCTGGTACATAACAAAGTACTGAAAGCAATAAATAAAAATATATACAATATACTTACAAATCTTGAGGAGTTGTCGTTTTTCACTGTTTTCGCATTACCGAACGCTTCTAGGATTGGATTAGCCTGCAACAGTTGTTGCTCCAATTCGCCCTGGAAACGAAACGATATCGTCACATCGCAGTCACCTCGCACAATTTGAACTTGATCATAAAAAAATATAAGCTATGGTTTACAGTTAAACAGAAGATAAGGCAATGAAATATTAGTGACTCCGTTACACGATATGTTAGTAGGATAATGATTTATAATATGTATACAGATGTGTGTGTGTGTGTGTGTGTGTGTGTGTGAAGGATGGCCAATGTATATATATATATATATATATATATATATATATATATATATATATATATATATATATATATGAGTGACGTCACTGATGATGTTAGCATTACCTCGAATGTAGGTCCGTTTGTCTACGGGAGGGGCGGCGTGAAATTTTAAAATGATGTTTGTGAGTACAACACACATATGAACAGACAAGCATATTATTCATATAGCAGTTAACTAGTAAAATGAGTTTGTTAGCAAATGTCCACTATTTTTAAAGTAATGTCTTCTAAATATTAATGTTAAACTTAATTCTAAGTAGCTTTATGAATATTTTTTCTGTTTATTCAAATATAAAAAAATCAATGTAATGTAGCTATCGAATATCTTGCGTTAGTACAAGCGATTGCAATATATGATTAAAATGGTACATGGGGGCATTCGAGTATTACGTAAGGCAATTTTTTAACATATCTGACCCTCCATCCTTCCCCCCGTGTAAAGCGCCGTAGCATTTTTCTGTATCCCCCCCCCCCCCTCTAAACGCTACATAACACCCAATTGACCAATTTTACCAAAAAGTCACAACACAACACACTCACTCGACATACAATCGAGGGATTCCCCGTAAAACATAAACGAAAAGGGGTTACCAACTTGGGAGATTTTAATTCCCTAGTTTTTTATTTAAATAAAAGAAAAATGTTACGTAACGCGTTGTTCGAATAACCCTCCCGCTCCTGTAATGAATCGTAATGTTTTACCACCCTCCCCCCTGGGGGGAAGGGATTGCTAGTAATGAGGAGGTTAGTTCCCATTGCTAACAATATACCGTATCAGGTCGACCTCCACGCGGTTCCCCCTGGAAACCATCGTTACTAATTCATCATTGAATTCGACACGATGGGCTGATTGACCTGCTTCTTTCATTATTCATCTATCATCCCTCACTGGTGCCCCGCCAGCGCTAACGGGTTACCCGTTAGCGCAGGCGGGGTTACCATTCTATTAATCACCATTAACCTTACCATTAACCCCCCCCTCCCCATTCAGTTACGTAATACTTGAACACCACCCATGTAATGAGTACATAGGTAAAATCCTCAATTATGTATGAGTACCTATTAGTATATAAAAAGTATAGTTTTAATACATATATACATAACATAAAAATATTAATACTGTACATAAAAAATAAACCGAAAAACATTTTCTTCTTGTAAATTGTTATAAATACAAAATATATTTCAAGTAAAATGCAATAATATAATATGTCCTTTTATATAATGTAGGAAAAGCAATTATGCATCTTATTTTAAACAGAAAACAGTATAATTTCAAACATCCAATAAGTCCCGTGTCATGCAAACATGCTAGAATCATCCAATAACCAAAAGGAACCGAAAGCGGTTGGTGGAAGGTGATAAATTGTCCTCGTAACGAAATAAATAATAATATATAAGAAATATGCGCTTTCCTCTAATGCATCACTTGTTCTAACATGTAGTTAGTATTATTCATAAAATTATATCTACACCTACACTAATAATAAAAATATATTTTTTTTTGTTTGTATTATAGAACATAAGGTAATAATTACTGTGCTATCTTGCAAAGTAAAAAAAAAAAGATTATTATCCTTTTAAAATGGGGATTGAATTGAAATCTTGACCTTTATCGTTATTACTAGCGAGTCCATGAGTTGGAATAAGACAGCGCAAGTTGCTATCTCGTTCTATCTCATGGACTCTCACTCGGTAGCGGTGACGATTCCATCGATGGATTCGCTTGCCACTTGTCTAGAAGTTCTAATCTACTTGCGAAGCTGATTATTGTTTCCAAAGAGACGAAAGTTCAAAACCGAAAATATTTTGATCCCACGTACTAACTTGACAGCTGGATGTGGTGAGTCAGTAACGAAAAAAATAATTTTTTTAGTTTTTTTTTATTTAACTCTTTATCGTACACACCAATTATAAGAATATGATCAAATGCACAAGGGCGGGCTTAACTCTAAAAGAGTTCTCTTCCAGCAAACACAAAGTGGAAAGGAGCATCAATTGTCAGCGGGTAGAGCGGTGTACAATATTGTGACAAATTTTCAACCAAACTAGACAAGTCATTTTCACATTTAAATCACATTTTACTCCTTCGTGAAATGAAATGTTTTTTTTTTTATTTTTATTTACCTGTCGAATTTCAACTATTACTAAAAAATCTCTTTAAATTATTTTGTAAACTACTAAATCGTTTCCACGTTACAGTAGGTAATGATGTAATTTATGCATACTATTAAACTGTATATCAGTATTAATTGTTTGTGATAATGATACAAAATATTTCATTTGCAACCGGTAAAACAAGTGGAAATATCAAATTCGGGTACATTAAAAAACGAGGTCACCTCAAGTCAAATTTTAAAAAGTGATAAAAATACAGCCACCATTTATGTAATTCACAATTACATTGTAACTACTGGCTGATATTTTGGCTGCTTTAATTAAAAACCTTTTCATAAACATAAAACTGATCACGAAGCGAAAACGGCATAAAATTTTGCATACCGGTACAGATATAAAAAAAAAATTAAGTACTTTAATTGAATTTTCAACTTTACCTATCTAATTTAGCTAAATTCACACACTAATAGCTTTATTCATAAAAATTAAAACATTATACTGACCTATTATTTTGTCACTGTCTTTCTAATTAAAAAATTAGCATAACAGATAAAGAAAAGACACTTTAATAGTTAAAATAGATATATAAGTTATATATATAAGTTTGACGAATTTATGAATAAAGCGATAAGTCATTTAATATCTTATATACCTACCTACTTATAAAATCGTCAATACAGAGCAGGGATCTGACCGTAATAAATTAATATTAACATTACTGTTTTATGAATTTGTAAAACTCTATAAAAATATTAAAGTATTAATCAAACAGAACTAATTTTTTGTTCGTATAAATTAAAAGTTATAAAATTTTGAAGGAAATATGACATATTCAAATTTAAAATGCTTAAATTATTTAATGGGAATAAAATGATGGACAATTTGCTTGGCAAACAATATCGACCAGCACCATGGAAATCACAGTATATACTGTCCCACCATCAGTACCCCACGTGCATTAAAATAAGGAAGCGCATATATCTTATGTACTAGGACAATGTACCACTAGCCCGTGGAAGCGTTCTCATCATTCGGTCCATCACTTACTATGATCAACTGTGGCGACGGCCCCTGTCGTAGTCGCCGCATGGTCGGAGGGGAGAGAAAGAAAAAATATACATCAGTGTGATAGTAGCTATACTATAGTATTTTTTTTGGTATAAACACTGCTAAATTTTAGACCTATTACACCTATCTATAGCTCGACAACTTCGTGCGCGGTACGCCCTAGCGCATCTAAGCCACTTACAATGAAAAACGACCGCAAAAATTACGTGTAAATAGCTCAGCGGCAGATTAGCGCGCGCCACCTACGTCTCACATCATACGCCCCCCCGCATGTCTGTTACCCCGTAGGAGCGCCGAGCACAAAGTTGGCAGGCTATAGTATCAGCAATAAAAACACATAACATTCACAATCGGGTATATACATAGTAAAAAGGATAATGTAACATGGGAGGTAATAATTTAAAACACCCAAACCTTAATTTAGAAAAATTAGTTTCCCAAAGTAACCCAATAGATATGTTCAAATCCGGGACCATTTATACTATACAACACCATACTGTACTACAGCACTAAGGAGGTAACATTAAACCGTGCTGAGACTGCTTGACAGACTGTTAAAATCGTTTCTCTTAGACCTAAATAAGAATCTAAATAAATGAGCGTCAACGACATCCAACGCCGAGCATGCCTGTGTCTTCGAGTAGTACTAGGCCTACGATGGAGATAAAATGAAAGAGATAGAACGACTACCACTAGAGGTCACTAGTAACTATTGACGCATTGACGGCTGAATCTTCTAACGAGGATGTTTCAATTTCAAATTGGCGTGTTTACTGCAGGCAATAGCTGTATTGTGGTTAACATTATTCTGAGATAAGTTTTTTTTTTTATAAAACTTAGAATAGCAAACAAGCTGACGGACCACCTGATGGAAAGTGGTAACCATTGCACATAGACATGAACAGTACCATGGACATAACAGAGTGTACTGTTTCGCCCACAATACCCCCCATGCGTTGCCATTCCTGAGGACTCAAATGTTATTCCTCTGTACCCTGTAAATTCACGCCATATCCCACCCTTCAAACCGAAACACAGCCATGCAAACACAACTGCTTCACGGTAGAAACACGAATGGGACAGAGGTACCCAAGCAATCGACTTTTGTACAAAGTCTCCCTCTGGTGCTCATAGGTGACATTAGAACGGCTGCCATAGAGTCGTTGACACGGTGACGGTTTAAGGCTGTGAAAGGCGACATCGATGTTTATTTTAAACTGTCGTTGACACTCATCTGTTACCTCGTTAATTTTAAATTTTAAAGAAATAATCTTAGATTACATATATAGAGCATCGAACCTTAAAAACGGGTCAACTTTTTGTCAGCTCATTGCCAAATTAGCTGACTCGTTTTTTTATCAATGTTTTATACACTTACTCATAAAATGTATCCTAATGTATTTTTTAATAAATAAAATGAGTGTTTACGCATTAAAATGATGCAGAAATTATAAAACAAAATAAATATAGAAGTTATAAAGGAAACATCCATAACTATTTATCACGCAAAATTGTATGAAAAAGTTGACCCGATTTCTCGAAGCATTTCTATGGAGACACTCTATCTACCATATATAATCTAAGGAAATATCCAAATAATTATCTTTGGATACTTATTGTACACATATCTAGATAGTAAGGTGTAACAGGCCTAAAACCTTATTTGTATGGGTATAGAGTTTATTTAGCAGCGTCATTTTTATAGGGAAATATCAACAAGTAAGTCTAGCAACATTGCAATACAGTGCTGTTCATATTACGTCGCATGCCACCTCCGTATCATGCCAAGTGCCGACTGTGGATAGTACCAATCATACTTGCAAATAATTACAAAACTTACAGAACAGTACTACACAATTATTGTGATTACATTATAAACTCAAACTCATTGGTAATAGGATCAATATTCGCAGTTCATCATTTGACAGTTTTCTACGTTATTATGAGATTACAAGAGCGTTCATAACGAAGAAATCTGGCAATATCTATAATAATTATCTTTTAATATATATATATATATATATATATATATATATATATATATATATATATATATATATATATATATATATATATATATATATCAGATCGTTATCCATATTACCCATACCTACTAGTGAATGATAGAAAGACCTTAAAAAAATACATTCGGAAATATGTAAATTACTTTTTCATAAGTTGGAATTTTTTTTTTTTACTTTAATTGAACACTCTTAAAATAGATCTGTTGATATAAATTAGAGAATTATTAATTTTTTCGAGGAATTCGTTGTTAAATGAACTTCAATTGCTTAATCCTACTATTAAAAAAAATGACAATTAGATTAACTGCAAATATAAACCAATTATGTCACGATACTATCATCACATTTCATTCGTGGTCATTAAAGTGGTCGAAAGTCTACTGACAGTCCCATATGAGGTTATAGTCGTGAACATTTTACATTCCTAGCAATCATTACTATCCTAGCAAACATAATCAAGCATACTTAATTACCTCATATCTTACGTACTATAAAGGGGAAAAATTTATACTTTTATCCACTAGTTTTTGAGTATATTTATAATAAATAAACTCAAAAACTAGTGGATCAATTTTAAAAACCATTGGAATGCTACGTTATTCCTGAGTAACTTAGGCTATAACTCTTTTCGAAGTTTCCATCTACCCGTGTAAAGCCGGGCCGGATCGCTAGCGAATCATAGTGGAAAGCCAATGGCGTTTCATTTGTATAAATACATTTCGATAACCCATACATTTTTTCAATCAATTCTAATTTTTATGATATATATAAACATTTATAAATAATTACCTAATTATAATAATGTATACTTAACTGGTTTATGAATGGTAATAAACGGCAGGGACTATAAAATGAATTATAATATTACGTGACCAATAGGATGCAAATAATAGACTTGTTTTATATTTTATTGAATTTGATGGCTTTTTTACCATAGTCGTTATAACTAGTTATTTGATCACAACTAAAATAAATTAAAAAGTAACTAAATTAATGTAAAAATATTTTTTTATATTATTTTTAAGAACGTTCACATGTTCAAAATATGGCAACATCGCGTTTATCGGTTAAACTTCAAAAACAATTGAAAATTTTTCATTGAAAAATGCATCGTTAATCAAATGATATGTTGTGTATAAACCTACTATCAGAATCTTTGTACCTACTTCATATTTAGTTTTGAATTTTTTCAAATACTTTTTCTTCTATCAAAATCCACAATTTTCAATGATAGCTTTCTAAGTATATTCTTGTATGATTTACATTTTAGTTGATAGATAGAGCACTTTTTAAATAATCAGTCAGAAATATTAAAAATGCTTAAATTATTTTTTAAAACTGACAGATAACTGCGACATTGCAACACTTCGTCAAGCCAGAGTTACGAACGCACCCAAATTTTTATTTTGAAAAAAATAAATCATTGATTCGTCACTCCATATTCCTTATTGAACATGATTCCAATTTGTGATCACCACGATTACCAAACATTTGGCGAACGTTAGGATAATGGCAAACGTCCAATATTTGTAACTAACCAAATGACAAATAAGCTATTACTTTGAATTGTATATACTTTATAGTTCCAAGAATACATATATTAACATAAACTGTATTGTAATTCGGAACACAATCGTGCAGTCGTGTATGTCCGGGCATACTGATGATTATTCCGCTATAATATTATTTAATTGAAACAGCCCTCAGTAGGTCAATGCAATTCTTGAAATGGAATAATACTTGCAAGATATCGACTTTAAAATAGACATGGGTAATATGGATACAGAGTTGAGAGTAAGTTGTATAAAAAAAAAACCTAAGCGTGTGCGACATCTTATATTTGTTCAGTAGTTTTTATGTGAAAGAGTAACAAACATACGTCTGTACTCATAAATACTATGAAATATATAATGAATGAATGAATGAATGAATATATGAATAAAAATTGTAGGATTTTTAACATTCTATTCAAACAATTCCTAATGTTTTAATTATAATTTATAATCAGTGATTATACATTATTATAGATGTGTCGATTACCAGTGACAATCGATAAAAGTGCATTCTCAAACATATGGGCCATCGAAATGTATTAAAACTTCTAGCAGATATTATCTGTATTAAACCTTACCCGAGTACGGTAGTCGAACCAATAGATATGGGATCGCTAACCGTAAACATAATATTTCAATAAGTAAATAAAGTCATTAAATTAAAAAAAAAATTAAAAATTTAATATAAAATTACTAATACATGTACTATTATTAAAAACATAAAAATTGTATAGTCTAAACCTAGGAATAGCAAGAGACAAAATCATGACGCCATTATCTATCATACATTATAAGACACGAGTCGAGATAATGTCGAGTTAATTGACATTTGGGTAAAATTAACAGTGTTGGTCGACAAAAACAATCGTACTGTTGCTACACGGTTCCCTATATGGTCGATGAAGGTAATTAGTTAAGCGGACCTCGTCAAGTCGTCACATTAGAGAAGCAAACGTAGCAATTAGGTGCGCAAGTGTGGTTCGCACTCAATTTTATTTTTTTTTCATGAAGCTTGACGCCTGTCCGCGGCGTAATATACAATCAGCTAAACTAGTTGTAACGACATAGATAGAGAACGTGCTGTATTTGTTAAACCATTAATTTTATAAATCGATTTTTTCAGTAGAATCTCGATTATTTGAACATCGATTAACCGAATATTTAATTATCCGGACTTATTATACACTGTTCTCATAACTAATTTAGAAATGGTATTATGTATTAATTGGATAAATAGGTATTATGTAATTAATTATCATCATAGCTCGTAATTTTTTTTACATCGTATTGTCTAAATGTAAAACCATTTACTTACATAATAAAAAAGAATTAAATATTAATTATTATTTGATTCGAATTTGAAATCTATTATCCGGATTTTCGATCAACAGAATACCCCTGGTTTTATTTCATTCGAATAATCGAGATTGTACTGTTCTACAAATTACAATGTAAGTAAATTAAAATTTAATTTATGCAAACGTATTAAAAATTGGCGACACGACAACATGACATGTTTATCTTAACAAGAACTTTTGCAAAACTTCAACTTTTTAATTGGCACCAAATAAAGCAATCACTTTCCAGGTCAAGTGTACTATAATCGTAAACCATATTGGGGACACAATAAAACCTAATATTTATAGGTGACCGAAATGTTACTTACTTTTATTTATCTGTTTATTTTTGCCACTCGACTACCAAATGGCTTGCGATAAGATTTTGTCTTTTGCAAATTCCAATAATAAAATACCGCAACTTATACGTATAAATTTCTGTGTCCTTAGCTGTAAATTCCAATTGAAAAAAAAAAACATTATTACGCGCCAGAATAAAACCAATGTACTGTTCCATTTTTAAAAATCTGACATCCTTACTACTTTTCTGTAGCCATGCTAACATTCGGGCAAAGGCATTTATTCAAACATCCGTAAAAAGCGTTGTCACAACACTGAACGTAAGATTCTAAATAGTAATAACTCTTAAAAAAAACATATTTTCAAATGCATTCCAGTGTAACGTTTCTAGACAGTATTAAATACTTCATTTACCATAAACCTAACCTAACCAACCAGTCTACCTTACAGGCTATTAAGTGTATGGAAATGAAGAAATGATCTTACCGCTCCAGATCCTTTGGGTTTCGACGCGGCAACGTACGCTAGGTACTGTATCACCTTTTTTGTGTTCTCCGTCTTGCCAGCACCAGACTCGCCTGTGCATAGAATAGACTGATCCTCCCGATCTGCAGACAATTAATACAATTGTAAATTATTTTCAAATAATTGTTTTCAGTTACATAAGAAAGAAATGCCGCGTGGTTCTGGCATAGAATAATCCAACCATCCCTTTTCCGTGAATCTCGTAACTTAAGAAGGTAGAAAAATGGGCAGCAGCATTCCTCTTAAAACGTCACCAAAGCCTAACAGCGGTTGCCAACCCACCTGCCAAACATAGCAACTACTGACAAAACCTTCCTTATGAGGAAGGCTTATGTCCAGCAGTGGGCAGTTAACGGCTGATATGATGATGATGATGATATTAAAAAAAAGAAAGAATCACTCAAACATTGATTTTGATTATGGCACTAACAGTTTTAATTTTTTTTTATTGCAGCACGACATGTATGTATGTGTATCTATATATCTGTATATATTTGGATGTGTGTTTATTTATGTATGTGTATATGACTATGCTGTCACAGATATTATTTTCTACAGATATATTTCTTTTAACACGCCACCTACCTATTTATGCTTTAATTCCTTCTACCCAAAGGTTGTCTGGAAGAGATTGCTTAGCAATAAGACCGCCTTTTGTACTACACTATATGTATTGAAAATTGTTCAACACATCCTGTTATGTTGGTGCAATAAAGTGTTAAATAAATAAATAAATAAATATCCCTCTACCTTTACGTCAATGTCACTGTCTGTGTGAGACACTCAGCCAAATGAACAAACATCAATAACCACAGTACCCACAGTAATTACTCTGTGCATATCACTCCAGTGTGAAGAGAACACGAGTACATCTCTGTTTCCCGTAGCCCTTACTGCATAATGACCGAGAGTGGGTGTTTCTCTTGTACTTGCAACTCATTAGACGCCTCTTCGTAATGTCTTGAGACTTTGTACTCGTCATTTCTTTTCGTACTTTTATTTTCGACGTTCAAAAATTGAAATACTAAAATTTTTCGATTCTTTTGGTAATTTGAAATGTTTTTAATGAGGTCCAATGCAACTTTTTATTGCCAACTTGTAAGCTTCGTGTGTAAATAAATAAAACAATTTGAAGTCGAAAGTTAGCGAATGTTTTTTAATGGAGCCCCCATAAATAGTTTTTTTTAATGGGGCTGTTTCCGGGGGGAAGGGATTGTTAATAATGGGGTCTAATGAACCCATTGCTAGTAATATACCATATCAGGCCGACCTCCACGCGGTTCCCCCTGGAAACCATCGTGGTTAATTCTAGTGAAAAAAAATCGTCCAGTTATAATATAATGGTAAAATACAACCTGCCCGTTTATTCATGTACATAACTATTCACATTACATTCCGTTGTCAAGTATTCAGTTCTCAAGCAAAATAGTGTACAGTCGCTTGCGTACATCCTAACAATTCAACCTTCAACAATTTGTACTTGTAACTTATAGATAAGCTATCGCTAGAGTAGACGTAGTGTGTTGTTAGTATCGAGAACTAACGACGCCAGTGGGGTACGTAACTACGTACCAGAGTTATTTCCTTTATTTCATCACAAAAGACTAAAGGATTTGCGTCCATCCTCCATTATCTTTGCAGATGAGTAATATACAGCAATATCTGTATATTTTTGTTACTTTGTACAAAAGTCGATTGCTCGGATACCTCTGTCCCATTCGTGTTTCAATCGTAAAGCAGTTATATTTGCATGGCTGTGTTTCAGTTTGAAGGGTGGGATATGGCGTGAATTTACTGGGTACGGAGGAATAACACCTGAGTCCTCAGGAATGGCAACGCATCGGGGGTATCATGGGCGAAAGAGTATACTCTGTTATGTCCATGGTACTGCTCGTGTCTATAGGCGACGGTTACCACTTTTCATCAGGTGGGCCGTCAGCTTGTTTGCCATTCTAAGTTGTATAAAAAAAATATTGGTTCAATAACGAATATGCTAAAAGACTGTTATTCAAAAAATAATATTGGATAAGAGACTTTTATCCTATTCGAAAATAGATATCCGACCGATATGGACGATATACTGATGTCCTTTTCTTTTGACCTTTTCTCCGCCATCAAAGTCCAGAGGAACCCAATATATAAATATCGGATCGGTCTTCATATTTCCTTCACTGATACCCCATCAGCGTAAAACAATAGCAGTTCATTCCATCATCTTCCTACCCTCAAGTCAATCATTTGGGGTCGGCGTAATATGATTTTATCCATATTACAAAAAGATTTGGTTTTTAGTATTACGACCAGCCACCTGTCTGACGTCAACCCTCTTTGGGAATGCATTTGTTGGTGGTTCCCGCGATCTACGGTATGGAGGAAAGGATTGAGGAAAAAGGGAACGTTGGAAATGCGTAAAGGAAATTGGTGAATGAGAGGAATAAGGGACTAATGTGGGAAAGGAAAGGGAGGGGACACTGCAGTTGCGGAAAGGACTGGGACACTGCAGCGGCTCCGGAGGCCGGGGTCGCATACCCGTATACCCTTATTCTAAAATCGGACAGATTTCTAGAGAAGAACACCTCTGACATTCAAATTCATTAAAAAAAAAAGCTTAATAACAATGGTCTTTGTTAGTATTACCAATAAATATGTGGTAATCAAGCCTGTAACTGTAAGGGAAAAAGGATTGTTAGTAATGGGGTCTAACTGCCCCACTGCTACCAATAGGATAGGATTATCAGGTCGATCTCAACGCAGTTCCCCCTGGAAACCATCGTGGTTAATTCTTGTTGATTTCGTCACGATGGGCTAACTGACCTGCTTTCAGCCTCATCTATCAACCCTCACTGATGCCCCGTCAGCGTATACCGATATCGCAGATCGGGTTACCATTCCATTATCATCTAATAAGCCAGTTACTGTTTAAACTAGTCATTGTTTACTATTACAACTCAAACAGACTGTGGGTGTCAATCTGATAACTACTTATTTTTAGACCACTTCCTTATAAATTAAGATTGCCTTCACAAAAAATCCGACTTCAATTATGGTATAACCAGTATTTTGATTTAAACACAAAAATACTACACCGATTTTGATAAAATTTCAAAAGAACCAATCTGTGAGTATATCCTTTCAGATAAAAAAGAAATTTTTCAAATCGGTTTACATCGGTTTAAAAATATTATAAAAGTTAAAATATCGTTCCTTTGGACTATTACGATTGGATTTATAACAAACGAAAGGTAAGCTCTATTTACTGGGCCGATTTCGGTATGAATAAAAACACGAAATTGAGCCCGAAAATTCGGAATTTCATTTCATGGTTAACCCCCTGGCCTTTATCGACGTATCGTCGATCCCATTCCCAATCTCTATCTGTATATTTACTTATTTATTCATTTAACTCTTTATTGCACCAAAAACATAAAAATATACAGTGACAATTAGAAAATTCAAGTGAAATACAGTAAAATTTTTAGGTAAAACCTAAAAAATATACATAAAGATACAAAAGGCTGTCTTATCGCTTAGGCAATATTACAGGAAACCTTTTATATTTACCTCATTAGACAACTATTAGTGACGATACTTGTATGTCATATATATAGATATATGTATATATGTAAAATTCTTTTGTTCTATTTTACATTATATACATATTTACAAGGCTGCCTTATCGCGTTCACTATTAGTAATTAGTACATGTATATCGATTAACCCGACTGCACCTTGCTTGTTTAATCACTTGAACGATTCCCTCATTAGGCCTCTCTATATGTTTGTAAAACTTCAGATATGTTCATTAAAATATGTTATTTAAATTCAAATTAAAATCATCTTTATTTAAATACGCTTGTTTAAAAACACTTTTAAATCGTCATTTTTTTTAAATCTACTGTAGGGAGAAGAATCTGTTAAGAAGCGGCCGCAAGAAACTCAACAGTGACTCTCAGTTACTGTACTGTCAGATCGACGGCTTCGCGGTCCAGGCTGAAAACCATGCTGTGTAATACCAACTGAATTCATCACAACAGGCAAACTGACCTGTTACTTGTCACCTATCACGCCTTACTGGTACTTCCTTTGCGTATAAATGATAGAACAGACGGGATTAACATTCCATTATCGTTTATTAAAAACCAAAATCGGTTGACATATTTCCAAAAAAGTACAGACAAATTGTAAACCTCCTGTTTGAAGAAGTCGCTTAAAAACTCCACAATAACAAAGAGCCTTTGTGGTACTCCTTCGGTATCGGGCGCGGCGCACAGATAACCGACTGGTTTCTAGCCCATTTGTCTAATTGTTCACTAATGGCGCGCGACGAGATATGAACGCTTTAAAACTCGTCTCCGAGTTATGTGGTCGCGCTCGGGACCCAGCCAACAGCTCTAACTATTCGACGATAATATTCCAAATAGCTATTGCTCATTACTTACTATATCATTTGAAATGTTATCAGAGAATGTTAAAATAATTAAATACCTTAGGCCAAAACGTATTAATTAATCAATTTCTTATTTGTATCTTAATAGATATGGCAATACAAGCATAATTAGCTTTCGGATTTTTAACTCTTCTTTGCATAATGGTGGAAATTTCCATCGTAACATTGAATGCCCAAAAATTATATAAAAGAGCAAGTTCACTTTAAGTTGATCGTGTCTGGATACCTTTTTAATGTCCATTGCAGAAAACAAAAACATATCTGTCAAATTTATTTTTTTAACCATTTTTCCTTTAACTTTGAAGATGAATTATATCACCTTGATTTATTTCACCAAAGAAGGGTTACCATGTAATTTAACTACCATGTAGGTACTTTACCTTTCAAATCCAAATACCCAGGGGGAGAGAAGGATTCTTAGTAATAAGGACGTTGATCTCCTTTGCTAGCAATATAACCTGTAAGGTCGACTTCCACACGGTTGCCCCTGGAACCATCTTGATTAATTATTGTCAAATTCGTCGTGATGGCCCAACTGATCTAACTTCATTCTCACTGATCATCCATCACGGATGCCGGGCCAGTGTATACCGTAAGTGCACGAGGTTGGGGGGGGGATACCATTTCATTATCATCCATTAAAAAAGTCGAAATAGCCATGCAAGTACAGTTACATTTTCTAAAAAAAACAATAGTAGATCTTTTAAAAACGTACTAAAAACAACACCATCTCGTACTTACCATAGGGCTAGTCGTATCATGTTCTTTACTAACCTTGTAACATAGAACGGTAGGCTGTGTCGGTGATGGCGAACACGTGTGGCGGCACCTCGTGTCGTTTGATGCCCTTATACCTCTCCATTATCTTCTCCGTGTATATCGGCAGCCTCTTGTACGGGTTCACCACCACGCAGAAGAGGCCCGAATATGTCTGGAAAAGAACAAAAATATAAATATTAGATAATGCCAAAGAACACAATACATTATAGACCTTCAAATAGTTTACTCTGGAAACCATTGTGGTTGATTCATTATTGCTAAATTCTCCGTGCCCTATCAGGGTCTATCAGGTCGACCTCCACGTGGTTCCCCTGGAATCTATCGTGGTTTTTTTTTAATGGATGATAATGGAATGGAATTGAATGGAGCGGGGCACCAGTGAAGGATGATAGATGAGAATGACAAGTAGGTGTCAGTTAGCCCATCGTGATAAATTTATCTGGAATTCAGCACGATGGTTTCCAGGGGAGACCACGAGGAGGTCGACCTGGTTGGGTATATTGCTAGCAATGGGATTCTCAGTCTCCATTACTAACAATCCCTTTCCCCCTAATAATAATCCAAACCTAGTTTGAATATCTGTTACTATTGATTAAATATATAACGCTTAAAATAATGATATTCATTGACATATTTGCATAATTACACTATGGATAAATCCACATTAATTTGTAGATAAAACACACTTTCCCTTTGATGTTACCGCAATTATTTATTACATACACACATCAATACTATCTAATCAAATAAAATCGTAACTGGTCGCTGTTTGTACATGGAAGATATATAAGAAAAACTATTACCGAACTTCTACCGAATTTATCATGGGGAGTGTTCTGAGGAATTGTTCGGATTGATACCTGCTGCTGATTTTCACCACCGTACAACCCGCCACAAACTAAAGTTTCATCCCAATCATCTGGACGAGTGGCGGTCTTCCACCGTGCGTTTTTCAAGGCACTTCCTTCCACGCACAACCATTCTTTGGAATCAACTTCCAGCAGCAGTATTTCCGAACCGATACGACAACATAACCTTCAAGAAAAGAGTATATTCCTTTTTAAAAGGCCGGCAGCACACCTGCAATGCCGCTGGTGTTGTGGGTGATCATGGGCGGCGGTAGTCACTTACCATCAGGTGAGCCGCATGCTCGTTTGCCCCCTGTGTTGTATTGTATTATAGGAGGCTTTATGAACGCAATAGAACACAAAACAATTATTTTTAGAATTTTTCTCTGTATGTCTGTACGTTTGTGCCCGCTAATCTCAGAAACGGCTTAACCGATTTAAATACGGTTTCCACTAATGCGTTGCGGTTTGCTCCACTTAACATTAAGTGTTAGTTTTATTTCTATCGATTCATAAATAAAAAAATATATCAATCTAAAAAAATCACATATAAAATGCTAAAAAATAACAAATCAATTGAATTGGTTGAAACTTTTTTTTATTATATGTAGTATTAATTTTCGAAAATTCTGTGTACTCGCGCGAAGCCGGGTCGGATCACTAGTCTCAAGTTAAAATCAAACATTATAACTAAAATAATTAGTATTAAAATTAAAAAAAAATATATAGTGGTACCTATATAAATAATTTATCGACCGGATATGCACATAAACTCGTATTATAATCGTTTTGTAACCAAAACTGTTTATTTCTTGAGCTAATACATCTTCACTACTTAACAACCGATAAACAATTATCCCATAACTATGGTATACAAATGCGAGCATTCTTGGCGAATCAATGGAAATGTACTATTCTAACGGCTCTATTGCAACACAGTAAGGTTCAATTTGGTAAGTATGCGCATGCGCATTAAATTAGAATTTCGTCACATTCAATGACACTTGATTGTTTGGACAACGGGCGGTTGATGGAAATTTGATACGGACTATGTTAACAGCCCATCACTGGGTGTCTGGATAACTTTTGGGTATATATTAGGTTACCACTTTCCATCAGGTGGGCCGTCAGCTTGTTTGTCATTCTAAGCTGCATAAAAAAAAAAACTAAAAATCATTGTTTTAGTAATGTATAATTTGGTATGAAAAGGACATATTTTAATCCGGTCAATTAATATTTTTTTTTTACAACACATGGGGCAAACGAGTATGCGGCTCACCTGATGGTAAGTGACTACCACCGCCCATGGTCACCCACAACACCTACGGCATTGCAGTTGTGCTGCCGGCCTTTTAAAAATACATACATATCACGGTATTAGCGGTCAATGAGCGCTGCTTATATCACTATTGCTCGTATGAGAGTGGCGCCCTCTTGTGTCAAAAATTACTAGCCTTCATTGTAGACAAAGACCTCTGACGAGGTTTACTGGAGACGGCTTTACTTGTCCTCCAAAGTATGATGAAGTCTATACATTTTTGAAAGGACTGACAGATCAAATATGCAATATTAGTTTTAATAATAAAACAAAAGCTTCTAACTCAATTTCACATGATATTTTATAAATGATGTTGTAAACACATCTCGCAATAAATTTCAATACACATGCGGATGCGCAAAATCGGCCGCGTGATTCACTCTTGCGCAGCTAGCGGGCGGATACGGATATCGTCTTTGTTTTCTGATACCTTTACTTTCGAAGGGTTACGCCATTACTCAATGACGCTAGCACGACATGTTCAACGAGGAAGTCATGTATGTTACAAATATTAATTTTAGTTGCAAAATATGTTATTAGAACGTTTGATACGTCCAGTATATCACAAGACTCGTTCCGCAAAGAAAAATTCAACGTTGATCATCATCGATTCATCATCACCGTCATATCAGCTGTTATTTGTCCACTGTTGAACATAGGCCTTCACCTATTGGGGTGTTTTACCAGTAGTTACCACGCTTGGCTAGTCCCAACGTAGAATGGATTACCTCTTCCTTTTCCGGGGAAAGGGATTGTCAGCAATGGATTTTGACAGCAATATTATTTATTATGTCGACTTCTACGTGGTTCCCCCTGGAAACCATCGTGAACAATTCTTGTCACGATGAGCTAACTGACCTGCTTCATCCTCACCTATTATCCTTCACCGGTGCCCCGTCGGTGTATACCGATAGCGCAGGTGGGGTTACCATTCCATTATCATTCATAAAAAAAAATCCTATCAAGTCGACCTTCACACAGTTCCTCCTGGAAACCATCGTGGTTAATTCTAGTGGAATTCGTCACAGAGGGCTAACTGACCTACTTTCATCGTCACCTATCTTTCATTTCTGACTGGTGCCCCGCCAACGTATATCGATAGCGTAGGCGGGGTTACCATTGCATTATCACCCATTGAAAAAATCTTTCTTTCCCGTGAGTGTCGTAAGAGACGACTAAGCGAGGACGAAAGATGGGCAGCAACGTTCCTCTCAAAATATCATCAAAAGCCTAACTGTAATTTCCAACCCACCTGCCAACTCTGACAACTACTGGCAAAACCTTCCTTATGGAGGAGGCCTGTCTCAACCGTGAAGCAGTTGTATTTGCATGGCTATGTTTCGGTTTGAAGGGTGGGATATGGCGTGAATTTACTGGGTACAGAGGAATAACACCCGAGTCCTTAGAAATAGCAACGCATGGGGGGTATCATGGGCGAAACAGTATACTCTGTTATGTTCATGGTACTGCTCATGTCTAAAGCCGACGGTTACCACTTTCCATCAGGTGGGCCGTCAGCTTGTTTGCCATTCTAAGTTGTATAAAAAAAAATGTTCAGCAGTGGACAGTTAACGGCTGATATGACGATGACGACAATAAAGGTAAAACATATTGCGCATAAAGCATCTAACAATCCAGGTCAAGTAAAGTGCACCGAGACATCTATAATGAGGGCGCAAACAGCCAATTAACATGAGAATTATTAGTTTCCACTAATTGGGACGTATCGTAAAGAGTAAATCGCCGAGTACAGCGCTCGCGTTATAACAAAGACATATTTAAATTTATTAAATCTAATTTTCCTACGATTACGACCTCAATCACCAATGATGTCGCCGAGGATTAAACGGAAAAATAATGCTGTTTTTTTATGCAATTTAGATTGGCAAACAAGCTGACGGCCCACCTGATGGAAAGTGGTAACTGTCACCTATAGATGTGACCAGTACCATGGACATAACAGAGTATACTGTTTCGCCCATGATACCCCCATGCGTTGCCATTCCTGAGGACTAAGGTGTTATTTCTCTGTACCCTGTAAATTCACCGCCATATCCCACCCTTCAAACCGAAACACAGCCATGCAACATAACTAACTGCATCATGGTAGAAACACGAATGGGACAGAGGTGCCTAAGCAAACGACTTTTCTCCAAAGTCTCGTTCTGGTAAAGTGACTTTATAAAGATTTTCAATTTGCTTTTATTTGTATTTATTGTAATGTATATTGTAGTCATGTAGATCCCGTGATAGAATAGGTCACCCCTTCCTTTCCCGTGGCGTAAGAGGCGACTAAGGGAGCTTCATGTGGAGTAATCCATAAGTTATGTTTTTTCTAATTATTATTTATTTATTTATACTTTATTGTACACAAGAATTACATAATTATAGTATATATTAAATAAAGATGTACAACAGGTGAGCTTAACTCTGTAAGAGTTCTCTTCCAGCAAACCCTGAGTGGAAAGGCGCATAAATTACCCGTGCGTACAATAATAAATGGAAACATTGTTTATTGTTAATTTTAGTGGCCTATAACCATCATTTTTTTAGTTTTTTTTTTATTACTTTTCCATCTCAATGGAATAAAAAAAAAAAACATGACATAAGGCACAAAATACAATTACCGTATCAAAATTTCAAATAAACATTTCAAATAATTATTTGTTTATTTTAAAACCAATACCTTATCTGTAGACTGCAAGGAAATCTTTAATAATTACAAAGAAAGAAAGAAAACTAATTTATTCAGTGACAACAGACTATAATTAACGAAACAATGAGAAAACAAAATTATCATCATTATTACAAAATCATTACCAAAGGTTGACTGAAAGAGAATGCTATATAGTATCCGCCTTTTGTACCAGACATTTTTTTTTGTAATGTGGTCAATAAAAAATAAATAAATAAAAATGTATCTAAGAACAGACGATGCACCGCAAAAAAAAACAAACAACATACCAAAACAAACCGACTAATGATGAGACACGCAAAAATACAAATTAAATTCTCATCCTTGTGGGAGTCCTTTAGAAATATTAAAACTTGGATATATGCTGCCTTATCTCTGTTATCGCAGAGCCA